ATGCCGTTTGAATAAACCCTTCGAGGGTTTATTACTGAAAAAAACAAGGGCAAGCGTTGATTATTCTGCGGATTTTTTGTTCAGTGTATTGTATTTTGTTCAGCGAAATAACTTGTAACAGCCACCATCAAGAAATTCGTATATTACTCGATTTAAACCAGAATGATATATGACAACTATCGAAATAGGTACTTCATCGTTGTCATCAGAAAAAAGTATTTGTTTTTAATAAGAGTCAGCCATGCCAGTAGTCTATTTGTGTGGTTCATTTTGTGCTTTAGCCACTACTTGATGTATCATCCTAACTATTATTTGTTGATGAATATATCACTCAAGTAATGTTCTAGTAATGGAGTTCGATAAACCTATACAAATCGCACATTTTAGTTGTTTTAGTAATTGTTGCTATTTAATAAAAAAAGATAATCGAACAAAATGTAACTACTCGATTTTAACCCAGAACTATTTCATCTTATTAAAAAATCATATTTTTCATTGTTGGCAACCTCATAAGAAAGGAATATCTTTGGCGTAGACATCAACAGGGCTTATTTGAAGTGATATTAATTTCCATATGAAGAATTATCGTTGCAAATTCAATCTTTTTCCACAAAACTCACATATTTACCTTGTAATCCTTAAATAAACCATTTCATAATCATAATAAGCATATTTAAACCACCAATCGGGCATTAATTAAAAAAATACTTTTTGAATAGCTATGTTTTTTTAAAGACATTCTGTACTTTTATTTATATCCCTTGATGAAAAACATCTAATATTCAAACAGGGTTGCCAGCCGTACCGCATTTGGGGTACAGTATCCAATTTGAGCCTTTTGTACCTCAAAAAAATTTGTAACTCTGAAGTACTCATTTTGTACCCCATCTACATTTTTCAATGTTACGACTACTATCATACATATTTTGGTTGAAACTAAGAAAATTTCTGCCTCTTTATCCGACATCTACTATTGATAAAGTTGTGAAGCGTCAATTATATTAGTTGGCTGCTAATGGTCATGCTTATGAAGAATTCAACAATGGCATATGCAACGAGTCCCATGGTGAAGATGATCTCATTCACAAACCGACGACCGAAAATCATGAAAGAGAAGTGGAATTTCGGCCTGATCAATTTGGGCTTTTCTTCTTGTAAAGTCGAAACCAATGTGTACTGAAATGTACAAAATTATTTCTTATGTGTACTCAATTCCTTGCTCGAATGCATTTGTTGAAGGCGTCTTTAATCAAAGAAAAAGCGCATGGACAGCCAGTCGCAATTTGACAGTGGATGAAACGGTAGCTGCTGAATTGAAAATCAGATTTAATAGTACTCTGACACGTGAAGATTTTTTTCTTTTGCTCAAACACAACAGCAACTGATAGAGTGTGGCAAAAGGCAACAAAAATACAGTTTCGAAAAAAAGCTTTGCAACGGTTAGTGTAAATATAAATCGAGAAGGTTCGCTTTGAGTAAGCATTGTTTTATTATGATTGAATTGAATATATGTATGACAAAATGAAATTTTATTGTGAACAAATTTATTAGAAAATAAAGATTTCAATTTGAAAGCTAGACTTTATAGTAAAACGAAAAACTGAGAATGCCCCTTCCTGATTGAAAATAGTTTTCGAAATTGATTTCCGCAGTCGATGACCAATGTGAAAGATGCAAACTGCGTACCTCATGAATGTATCCCATTTACAACTGAGTTGTACCCCATTTGGGACCTGAACAACTGGCAACCCTTTTCTAGATCCAAAATCTCAATGAGAAAGCATTTTGTTCTTCAACATTATAGTAAATAAAAATGAATAGTTACAAGTATTGTAGTTAAACGTATTTGATTTAATGTAATCGTCACACAATAATCAGTTCGAATCAACTAACACTAGTCAAATGAAATAAGCGTGAGTAGTCGAACCCATCACCCATCGAACTTAGCAAAAAAAAGTAATGACATAGGTGTAATAAAAATTTTAAAAGATACTATTTTAGACATATCGTTTTCGGATTCACATTATTGATGAATACATAGATATCTAAAATGATTAATTTACCCTATAATTAGATTTCAATTTAGTTAGACGTTGTGATTTACTGCATATGAAGAGTATGGTTGTTTTATTGCAGTTATATAATGTTTTTCATCAATGAATACGATTCTTGTTGTAATACCTACAAATTGAAAATTGCGCTTGATTGATAACTACGAGGTTAGAAAATAACTAATGTGAAAAAATTTGATCGTAAAAATTACCACAGAAGGACAGCCCAATCTATCAACTTCATTTTTGCAGCTTTCAATGAGAAGTGTCTACATAATAACGTAGTATAATATTTATGAAACGACTCGTTTTTTTTTCATTGTGAAAAGGTATATTTTTTATTTTTTATCCATTTACTGGTTTCTTCGTATTATGATATCTCAGTGTTGGGAAGCAAGTTGCCCGAAACAGAGTATATACGAGAGAGTATATTCTTGAATAAGTTTGTCGATTCATTAGAAATATTTTTTTTTATTCGTGAAGTTTTGATTATTCAGTGTCATTTAAGATGGAAGAGACTGAAACTATATGGCATATATCACCTTGTTAAGTCTATCATTCTCACGATCTGGATTTGAATCAATTAGTTGATTTTCAGAACTATCATCAAATTTAGCTATTTTTGTTTTCTTTTTAGTTTTTTCATTAGGTTTTGTTTTTCGGTAAATTTTCTTCAAATTATTTTACTAAATCTAGACAATGTACGTACATTACTTTTATCTTCCATGGTATTATCAACATCGAAATAGACTTTTCATTTTAGAAGAAATTAAATATTTTTTCTCTTTACCTGTTTATCAAGAATAGCTTCGACTCGAAATTCAAGTTCCGCGATTCATCTCTACTCGAATAATATTCAACATATCTAAAATGAACCTTATGACAACTCCCCTCGGTACATGTTTCGATAACGAAACCGTGCGGATTGTTGGAAACAACGATCTGCCAGAGCTACTGTTAAGAAGCATACTGCCTGGTGATTCTCTTTTTCTCAATAACCCAGGTCGAAAAATCTGACACAAGATCTTATGAAGCACATACAAGACCGTGGAATACGGGCGAAATCTTACAAGAATCTGACAAAAAAATCGTAGTTTCTGAGATCTTAGATCAGGTCGAACAAACAGACTCTTGAAAGATCTTGCACATTAATATGATCTTTGAAGAATCTGATTGTTCGACCTGATCTAAGATCTCAGGAACTACGATTTTTTGTATGATTATCGTGTGACCGTGCAAGATCATATAAGATCAGATGCAAGNCTCCAACTAAATCATGGTTCATTTGATTTCGATTATCATTCCATATATAAGTTTAACACTTAAATAGATTTGTTCCTTTCTCTTTAAAAGCGCAATAGGTTCAAAACGTTGCTAAGCGTCACATTAAAAAAATCAGTAGAAAACAGGAGAAAATATAAAAAACAGCTCCTGTAATCAGGAGATTTCTTGCCAGGAGAAAAGTTTCAAAACCAGGAGATCCCTGGTGAAAACAGGAGCTTTGGTAACCCTGATACACATAGTTGTGAAGAATCAGCTTGCAAAAAGAAGCCCATCCATTTATATTCTCCTTAAGTTAATGAATATTGAGAGCGCTACTTAACGAAAAGTAATATTCAGGAAAACGTCATGTGATTTTATAGTGTGCATAAACAGATCGTTCTCATTGGAAAAGATGACATCGGCAACCAATTCATCATCTTAATTTTCAAAAAAAGGAGAATTTTAGTAAAAAAATGAGTTTATCTTTTGCAACATGATATTTGACTACACGTTATTTCGCATAGATTCGTACAATTTCGTCAGCGCAACATGTATTTAATCAGTAAAGATCATTTACCTCTTGGTAAGTTATAAAAAAGCAAGTTTATTCGTGGAAATGCAGAGTACGAAATCATTTTTGTCTCTACTATTTTCATACAAGAACTTCTTCCGATGAAACTATTGCAATTTATGTACATCATCACTAAAGCTTAACTACACTTCTTGAAAGAATGTTGACTTAAAAACCTGAAGTGATCAATTTCTTTAATTACATTAAGACATTTTATGAAAAAATTTGATAAAGAAACAACTATAAAGTCAGGTTCTGTAAGCATTGATCAAATAGTGACGTCAATAGAAATAACTACAAGCAATCATCAGACACATGCAGACTAAACGATAGTATTCTAAATATTTTTGCTTATGAGAGTTTGTAATGTGACGTATACAAATGTTTAATTTTTTGCCAAAACTAGAGGACGATATTTTTTCTTCCTAATTCTTATAGAAGCTTTCCATACACACCTTGATGTCTGTTAGTTATTTTCTTCATTGAATAGCTTCATAAAAGAATGAATATGTAATTTTGTTTTATTATTCTAAAATCTCTGACAGAGCGGGTCATCATTAGTCAAACAAGCTTGATTTAGTTTTTGATTTTGTAAGTCTATCTTTGCTTGCTGAATATTCTGTTCTAAAAATATGATTTCTCGGTGATTTGGAGGAAGAGATTTAGAATAAATTGAATGAACTTTCATAAAATATTCAAGTGCTTTCGAGTGATTTTCCATGTGTGCATACGTTATTCCCATAAGTAAATATGTGCTACCAAACACTGTATGATTTTCTTCAAGATGATGACGATCTATTGATAATGCTTTTTCGTAATACTCGATAGCTAAGTCAAATCGATGAATTTCATCGAAGACATCAGCGATTACACGATAGACACTAGATAATTTAGGATGCTTTAAAGAACGAAGAATATCTAGTGCTTTTGCTTCATAGTCAAGAGCTAAATTAAATTCTCGTTTTCGAGCGTACACTGAACCAATTTCTGCATAAGCTATTCCTGTTTCTGTTTGCTGACCAAGTTTGACCGTTAATGAAAGTTCATTACTGTAATCTATTAATGCTTCATCATATTGTTTCAATTGACACGCAATTAAACCAAGTCCTCTACAACAATTAGCTCTGTCGAAGTCAGAAAGCGATTCTTCCAGTAACAGTTGCTGAAAAAATTCTTTTCCTTTTTCATAATCGCCTTGCTTATAGAACAACCAACCTAATGAAGTAATTCCGGCTTCGGTTTCTGTGTTCATCTGTATCATTAATTTTTTTAGTTCATAATCATCTTCGCTGCACATACTGAGTTTAGCTATCCATATCTGTTCACTTAGATCACAGTTGACATCTTCTATGCGAAATATTGAACCTATCATTACGAGAATTTCAGCTTCAGTTGATACAGCACTGAGCTTCGAAATATCAGCATAAGGTTTAACACCTTGAAGACGAGTATCAATATGAAATTTGAATAATATGCGTGTTAATCCTTCTGCAAGTGGTGCACTTTTAGCAAAAGAGATCGCGATATTATGATTGGTACTGGTTGATAGAAAGTTGTTGAATGAGATCAATTGTCCTTGATTTTCACGAATCAAATTAAGTTCTTCGACAGCTATAGCTTGGCCACGATAGACTTGTAGAATAGGATCTGACGAAACAAATAAACGTAGATATTTGTCATGTTCTTCTTTTAATTGATTGTGTAAATCGACAAGAAAGAATCGTAGTCCAAAAAGAATATCTAAATCAGCTTCTCTCAGCCCTTTATTGAGAATACGATAGAGAAATGATTCTCGAGTATACCAGTAGATAGCTTTTTTAGATTTATATGTTCTATAGAATTGCTTGATAATTCTTTCCTCTCTGTGATTACCATGACATTCTGCAGACCAAACTTCAAGGAGTTCCTTTTTTGCTTTTTCTTTATTTGTTGGCATTTTCAATAGGATATCGATGAATATGAGAAAGTACATAAATGATGCATTTTGCGAGTCTCTTTTTTCCTGATAGTTCCTATGATTGCTCGAATTAGGACTGTAGAAGTTGATAGCAAGCGAATCTTCATCTGTTCTTTCACGAGCCCATTGATCTTGTTTGATCTGACACAAGAGTTCATCTAGATTTGAAAAAACTCTTGTAACCTATAAAGCAGAAAAAGGAATCCTTTGTTTTATAATGATTCAAAGCAAATCTTATGACTTAATTGTTACTTTATTGAATGATTGTGACCATTGCTCATTAGCTTCTTCATTCGTACAGTACATATAAATAGCTCTGACTTGTAACACATTTTGAAGCCGTACAACAAGCTCACGACCATAACTTCTGCTTCCACTCACAACTATAATTAATTTTTCATGTTCACCATCTGCCTGAACATATTCTTCACATTCTTTGAAATTACTGAAAATCTTTAATTTATTAATGAGCTTTCTGAGCTTTTTCTGAGTCTTTATCGTATTGTCTCTTTCGTTAACATTTTGATCCAACCAAACATATGTGTAAGTTTCAAAATGATTTTCTCTATGAAAGTAAGACCTTGTTGTTGCTGTAGAATTAGAAGTAGTGGCAGCGACGGAAGGAACCGTTGAATAAGTTTCAATGGACGTATCTACGTCTTTAGATGAGTTTTTAATTTTGGATTTTTCATTACCCATTTTCAGAAATTAATTTGTTCTGAAATTTGACGCTCCGTACTCATTTTATTGCAGCAGAAGAAGAAATCTACCTGCTTTTTCAATCTCTTATCTTGTATTTATTACCAAATAGAAAATGAAAACCTGTATAACTTTATGATTCAAACGATATTTAGAAAAACAAAAAATTACAAGCAGATAAGAACCTCATGAAGAGATCATTTAAAAAGTCTTTCTTTCTATTATTTTTTCAAATGCGAATTCCTTTCTTGTGGATTATATTTTATTTTTTACTATTTTTGCATCCTCTGTGTCCTCCTCTTCTTTTTGTCACATTGTTTTACTTCTATAGCCTACTTGATAAAAATGCATCCTGTGTTCATAGTTTATTGCCGTATTTTTTTCTAAAATACTGTTTTTTAAGAAGGCAGATAACAATACTGTGATATTCAATTGCATAATTTTTCATCTGCATGATGCCTGTATAAAAAAAGACTTGTATATTTCCTCATTTAAAACGAGCTACTTTATTTTTTCAAAAATCCGGCACTTTATAAAACAGATGTATTTAAAGTGATTACATTTTTTGGACTTATATTATTAGTAATGTCTATTATTGGTTGCATTATATTCAGAGATAAAGAACTCTTTTTTCTTTTTTCATCTGCTAATTGTCTGCTTTTATTTGGCCTACTGCTGGATGATATTGTTGACTCGGCATTTGATGAATGCTTTCGATCGAAGTAACATGACATCAACGACGTTTTTAAACAAGTATCGGATATAACATAATCAATTAATTTACAATAAATTGTTCGAACTGTAAATTTAGCTGAATTTCGAAATTTCTTTCCAATAAGACAATAAAATATAAATGACAACGCGTGATAGAAATTTTGTAGTATACGTAAATATTCATTTAAAGTAGCAAACAATTTCGTTGATGATGAATTCATTAATAAACATTTATGAATCGATTGTATGACAAGACAAACATTCAATGGGCCAGTCATAATTATAAATAGAATATTAATTGTTATTAACAACACTGACAAATGATCTGATGAGGCGGTGGAACATCTATTTATATGAGATAGTCCACCGAAGATTGTTGCTGAACGACGTCTTTCGAGTACTTTAAATATAATAATAACATTACATATTAATGTTATTATAAACGGTATAATCGCGTAGAGAAATGTATCAAATGTGTTCCAAAGAGTACATATATGTTTTTTAACTTTGATTGACTGAACTCCGTTCGAAAGTATATGATACTTAATAGATGTATTGGTAGAAATTCTCAAGCTTTCAATGGGATATTTCAATGCATCTTGATAATGTTTTACATGATCATTCGATATTTCATTACAAATATGAGTTTTTTTTAAAAGACCATAATTAAAAAGAATTTGAGCATCGAAAACCAATAAAGGTATGACAATATAAATAAAAAATATTCTGCACGTTTGTATCTATATTAAGCAAAAAATGCAGAACAAAGTTTATAGAGAACTTAGGGTTTTATGTACGTAAATGTCTATCAAAGAGCTCTGTTGGTTTAGAACAATTTATTCTGAGTCTGAGGGCAGCTAGTCTAAAAAACAGCTAATTACATATGGGGTATTATGAAATGAAAATAATTTTTTAATCACATGTAGTGATAATGTTAAACACAATTTCGCGTGATAAAATGTGCGCATTTAATGAAAGACAAAGGAATAGAGCAGGAAATTTCTCCGCGATCAGCTATTCTCAACAGATATCTTGGTGACGAACACAGTTGGTAACTCGTTTTCTATATTTATGCAGACCGAAGGATTTGTGTCAAAGAGCCAAATGTGGTCCCTAGGTTGTCAAAATAGTTAAGTATTCTTTTGTTTTTCTATATAAAAATTTTTTTTTTCACTAATACAATGAGAACACGATACTTTGTCTTATCACGAATCACAATCTACTTAGTAGTTCGGAGAAAATAAATCGCATTTAGCGAGTCTCAAAAGGTAGAATTCAAAAGAAGAATGTTTCTATATTTATTGGAAACAAACCAAAGAATTGTGTGAATAGAAATTTTTAGAAAATAATCATCGTTAGACATACCCATGATGTTGTCCGTTGTGATTTTAAACTAAGCAATGCATATAGACGTTGAATACTTGTTGAAACAAGTTGCCACGAACAAAGATGACCAATAAAAGCGACAATAAATGTATGTATTTGACAGAATTTTGTTGAAACGCTTCTTAAATCTTGATGATAGATATTTCTATAACGAATTAATACTGATAATAAATATAATATGTTTAAAAAGCAAAAAATGGTTAAATTTTTGTAAATATTCAAACGACGAAGCTTGGAACAAAGTAAAGTAATTATTGATAAACCATTCCCTAAAAGTCCAATAATAAAAATTAATATTGTTGAATAGATATAAATTTCTGAAGCAGAAGATTTCGATAATATGTATGATGAATTCCAACAATCAATACTTCGTCGAATTGTATGATAAGTACAAAAATAAGACGAATTAGAATATGAGACCGCATGGCGTAATAGATAAGAACATTGTATTGGTTCAGATGCATTTAATTGACACCAACATGCTTTAAAATAATCGATTTGGCATAATGTCAAATTATTTATTGACATAATAAATTTCTTAAAAAACAAATATTATTAATTTTCGTGGAAAATATTGTTTTATTTGTAATACTTAGGATTTCTCGTGAGACTACTCTGTCGGTTAAAATGTTTATCAGTAAGTTCACACGTTCGATCTCATTGTTGATAATAAACAATAAATTTATGATTAAAAGAAATGGCTAGTCGCTAATTAAAAAGCAGAATAATATCTATCAAGTAACGGATACGGTAAACTACCCGAAGACTATATTTATAGAGATGTGAATACCTATATTATTTATATCAGTTCTTGTCTGCACTATAGCATTATTATTGTTATTATGTCTCATTAGAAATAGATGAAGAGCAGTGAACTATATTTCAAACATCCGTTTTATGAAAACAAAAGCTAAGCAATCTAATCATTAAAAAAGTTTCACTACCATTATCATGAACATGGCTACACTTACAACGGAAACGACCAACCGTAGGATTTTTTTTACATCAAAATCAGTGAATTTTCTGATGTGTAATTATTCTCAAGTAGAAGAAAAACGCTCAAGGAATTTCATAATCCTTATCGACTTTATTCAATGACCAAAAGAAATAGCGAATCGCCTCTTTTATGAATATTGGAAAAATCAGAATGAAACCAAAAAAATATTGTTTACTTACCACATTGCTATTATAGTAGCTTGATGCTGTTGCCTTAGATGTCATTTATGTGAAATAATGATAAAATGCAAATCTAATGTGGAATAATATATATATATATCACAGTTGACATGAGAATTTCCGTTGAGATTGAAATGCACGAAAAAAAAAATTAATCGAAAAAAAAAATTTTTCTTTTTTTCCTGCTCATGATAATAGATTATAGAAAAATAGCATAGAGAAGAAATATTTCTCAGATAAATTCAATGTCCCCATGGCCCCATCGTTTATAAAATAGGCAGAGTTGAATTATTTAAAAACTCATTGTAAAAAGATCCAAGGAATAATTCTCAATATAAAAATTTCTAAAGTCAGATCTCAACAAAAATTCTATTAAAAAAATTAAGAAAAAAACTATTCCAAACTCGCCTGCCACATATATATATATATATATATATGTGTGTGTGTGTGTGTGTGTGTGTGTATCAACTAGCATTTGTTTCTTTTTCTTTTTCTTTACGTTTCTTCTCCGCAATATGATTAATGGAAAATATCTCTGAAAAATGTCATTTGAAGGATTAGAAAAAAAAGATCGGTAGAAAAGTATATGATATAGTGTTCTACGGAAGACAATCACTTTCTACGTGTTGCTGATTACAGAATCATAGGCAATGCTGAAATGTTGAGAATAAGTGTAGAAAATGAAATCTTTGTTTCCGTAGTAAAATGTCTGAAGGCTTAGCATAACAATAGTTCGGACTAGCATACAGCAATGGTGAATATTATTCTTAAATTCACATGGAAAATAATAAGAATTTCAATTGTTTACTGCTACAGGAAGCAAAAAGATTGAGTAGAAAGTAATTGAAGTATCCACTCAAGAATGAAGGCTGGAGAATTTCATCAACATTATATGCAAGAGGGGAATGTTTATCATTAAACTAGCAACAGTTAAGTCGATTGTAAGACGAAGATATTAGTTTTCTTTTGACCCATATCTATAGGCTTTGAAGCATTGTGCGCATTGCCATCACACCCACATCCTACAGAGTGTGCTCTTTATATAAACTAGCAGTTTCTGTGTCGTTGGTAATTGCTAATGTTATTTAAAGAGAGCGAGTCCATTAAAGGATAAATAGCTTGCTCTATGAAATTATAACACTACAAAGGACGCTAATACGCGATAGAAAATACCGAGGTAAATTTATTGAATCAAATAAAAATTTGTAAGTTTGCTGTCATTGAAAGTTCTTTTTCAACAGGCTGATTTCATCCCACTGCATGCTGATAGTATTCTGATTAAATGCTTTATCTTAAGTTTATTTTTAACTTCGCATGTTAGAGAATTGAATAGAATATGCAAACCTGATATTCCGAAGAAAAAAATATTAAAAATCCGTAATAAGATTTTGATCAGTCTTATTTTCGAAATACAAAAAAGTGATTTTCTTGCTTTTGCTAAGCAGCGCATTTCTCTAGATTATAAAATTTACTTACTTGACATTTTAGGATTTAGTTTAGAAAAATCATTGAGCGTTTTAGCGAGATAAAATAGTCATAACTGTGAAATCTCATATATCAGAATGCAACGGTGGGATACAGTTGCGTGTGTCTCTCATTCATGAGAATAGAAAGTGAGCATCGAGTCAAAATTTATTTATTATATGTAATATGAAGGAAAAACTTTGTTTTTTGTACGCAGGCTTCAGGCTTTGCAGATGACCTGCTTCATCTGAACAATAGATCTATTTTCTGTAAAGAGAAAATTACACATTTATTCATTTCCTTTGCATTATAAGGCTGCCTATTTGAAATGTAGAGTTAAAAATTAAGTCTAGAATTCTCTTTTAAATCTGTTAATGTTATTGAATAAAACTAAAAATTCGATTTTAGAAGCTTAAATAGATAATAACGAAATTTGCTGGATTGGATCTACCAGCTCAATAGAAAAAAATGATTTTATTTCGGATTACTATTAATTTTGCAAAACGTTAATACTCGTTGATCTTTGAATTAATTTTAAAGATAAGTTGCTTTTATCGTGTTAAATATATTAGTACAGGTATAGTTTAATTCTTATCTTTTTTACTCAATTACAAAAAAAAAGAAGATACATTAAATCAAATTTTGTCCTAATCTAGTTCACAAAGTGCTTGTCTTTTATTATCTTCTTATTCATCATCAATCACATATTGTAAAAAAAAACACAGAAAAATCACGAAATCAAATAATAATTTTATTGCATATGTTCGAATTCATTCTTATGATATTTAAAATGATCTTCCAAAAATGTCATGATAAAATAATAACTATGATCATAACCAGCTTGTTCACGCAATTCAAGTGGAAATGATGCTGTTTTGCAGGCCACAATAAATCTTTCCGGAAACAATTGTTTATCTTTGAAACTATCATCAGAACCTTGATCAACTAAAATCGGTGCATGTGGTTTTGGACCATTATATGAAACGACAAGTTCTGTTGCGTCATATTGTTTCCAAAGAGTTTCATCTTGACCAAAAAATTTCGTATACGCATTAATACCCCATTCACTCGTAGATGCATTACAAATGGGTGCAAAAGCTGAAACAGATTGATATTGACCAGGACGTTTGAAAAAACTAATTAAAGCACCATGACCACCCATACTATGTCTAAAATACAATTATCGTATGAAATCTCAATTCTTTCTCTTCGTATTTACCCTAGAATTCCAATTTGCTTTGGATTAACATTAAAATTTTTAACAATCAAATCATAAAATTCTTCATTAATATAAGAGAACATGCGATAATTCTTTGACCATTTGCTTTCAGTTGCATCAACATAATAGCCAGCACCTTCTCCAAAGTCCCATTTTTCGCTATCGCCTTCAATTTTGCAACCACCTTTATTGAAAAAAACATAAGCATACAATTCTAAAAAGAAAATAGAACTTTTTCATACGTGGACTCGTGTCAGGATTTGCTACGATAAATCCATATTTTGAAGCTAAACTTTGAACACCCGATTTTGTAATAAAGTTTTGTTCCGTACATGTTAAACCTATTCGATAAACAAAATAGATATTTATCTTATAAATGAAATTTTCAACAAACCAGAGAGAAAAATCAACAGAGGAACTTGTTCTTTCTCAGCTTTCTCTGGAACATAGACACCAAATTTCATTTTACAACCAACTGTAGAACTAAAAATACTCAAATTTGTATCAAACGGAAACTTTCATCTTCAAATACCTTTCATGGCTATAGACATATTGATGGCCATCAAAAGCTTTCGCGCTTTGTTCACGAGTCAATGTCGAAGATGACATTCTCAAAAAGAAAATTAATATAGATAAAATTTCGACCGAGTATAAATGTGAATTATTGTTTTTTTATTATTTTCATTAACATGCAAAATACAATCATAAATTTAAAAAAAAAGAAGGAAAGGAACACAATCACCCGTTCACCTAATATAGATATTGGCAGAGCTGTAAGACACAAAAAATTATTTTTTGAGCTTACTCTCTCAGAATTATAATTGAGTGATCTCAAACAACAAGTGTGCAGATTAGAATATTAGGAAACTCGAAAAGAGACATACATTAACAACAACCAAAGAAAAATTATATTTGACTAGATACAGGAGAAAAAAATTAAATATATATATTTATATAAATTTAAAGTTCTAATGAAGAAAATAATCGACGACACATAACAGCAGCTAATGACGGACACCTATCAAAGTCATAGATAAGTTGACGTTGTTTGTCATTTAATTTTTGAAATACATTATTATATTCACGATCGAAAACATCTAATAAAAACAAAAGAGATCATCTATATTTTCAAAGGTCATGGGTCACCACTTGTGATACAATCAACTAAGAGGAGAAACCGATTGAACTTACCATGAGAAAATTTGTCCCGTCCAAGTGCCACAATCGCTAAAAATAGAATTTCTCTGTACATTGAACGTCGGTGAATACGTCGACGAATCGATTTCGATGATTCTTTTATAAATAATCGAATTGGATTATCAAGATCATTTTGTTCAATACATGCAACAATCGATCGTATTACTCTACGATTAAATGAAGAAAAATAAATAAGTTAATATATGTTTTTTCGTTCAGATTCATAAAATAAAAATCAGCGAAATAATCAATTTCTAGTTTGTAGATGTGAAAGGAATCATTTACCGAATTATATTAATATATATGATATCGCTAATATATGAAGAAAATGAAGAAGGAAAAAAAACCAAATTTTCATATTCAACTTACTTTCCAGTGACAGTGCTATGCTCATCCGTAATTAGAGCATTGGCGACTGGCGTATGACAACTATCTAGAAATTCAACACAAATATATATTAAAAAAATGAAAATAGATCGGTTTTGTTTTTCCTACCATAACCATCATGTTCCCATGTTTTATACATGGGTTCAGCAATATCACTATGACTTATTGCACTATCCCACATACAACGTATACGTATTGAATTTTTATCTTCAAACAATTCTTGTCCCAAAATGCATTTATCCTTCTTAAAATCTCGCTTCGTGTCATTGTCCGATGGATTTAATAGTGACCGTGAAAGCATTTGAAACAAATAACTTGATACATGAATACGTCGAAAAAACCAAATCTAAATAAATAAACGATGATAAAAAAAAAATCAATCAATGTTCATAATGCTTACCAAATTCCAAAATAAAATTGGATGTTTTTCTTTAAAATCTATTTTATATAAGTCACTGTTATTTGGATCATGTGTTTCAATTATATTTTCCAGCTCTTTACGAAGAACGAGTGGACTTAAATAATGTACCATTATAGGAGGTGACGATGGTTGTAGACGACTAAAAAAATAATATTATTGTACAAAAGAAAATTGAGCTTCAATGCTTATAAAAGCTGATGTTTCATGTCTTACAATGATTGTTTCATTTTTTCAATCATGCTTTGTTGTGTCATATTATTTGTTGGTGTTGTTACTGTTGAATCATCTTTTCTATAAAAAAAAAAAAGTAAAATTATTCAAAATCTTTTTGTTTTCTTGTAAACTTACGTTGCATTTGTATTACTAATAATAGGCGTATTCTCCTGGAAAGAAAAAGATAATTCTTCCTTGTTCAGTTTTTTGGAATTAAATATTTTTGTTTTTCTTACTCTGATATTTATACTTAATTTTGGTATCGTTTTTTCGCCACAATGAACACATCTTGTATGTAATTCAGAATCATCTGGTGACCAACCATTCATAATCTCTTCATCGTACAAAAATTGATGACATCCTGAACATCGATTACAACTACTGATTTCAACAATACGAATGGGAAAATGTGAATTCTCTTCATTATTATTATTTATTGGTATTGCAACACTTGATGGATCGATGCGTAGTGCTTTGATGTCATTATGAACATTATTAATATCAAGTCCATTTATATTATTGGTATTTAACGATGAACTATTTGAACTTTGTTGGGATATCAACGATGACACACTACCACGTAGCTTGCTATTACTATTATTTCTCGCTAATGTTCGTTCTTTATTGATTATTTGATTTTTAACTGCATAAAGACTTTTCGATTGTGTTAAAGGAATAGTTGTATATTTAACTGATGATTTCAAATCAGTAAAACGATCCAATGCAAACGTTTTGATTGTATTGAGATTTTTCGGACTGTACAAAGCTGACAAGCCACTTTGATTTAGTCTTGCACGTAATTGTGTTAAAGATGGAATATAAGATTGAGATGAGCTTTCTTCCTCTTCTTTTACAACATAATTTACATTGGATTTTATTTCTGATGATGAATTAGCGAATGGTTTTTCTACTGTCGAAGATGTTCGATTAACAATTAATTGAGGTGTATGAACTGCTGGAATTGGATTTAGTAAACCGAGTGGATCATTAGATAAAACTTGTGTTCGCGACGTTAATTCCCATTTAATTGACGCAGTTGGGTCTTGTTGATTGTTAAGGCACGAAATTGACCGCCGAGCTATTGTTGGCGGATTATGTATCTGAGAAGATTTTGGGGCGACCGGTAAACGGTATGAAAGCATACCAATATCTCCTATTTCAATATCACTAGTTGTCATTAATATACCAGCATCAGAACGTGCTAAAACAAAGAAATATGAGTTTTAATTAAAGAATAAAATTTAATAAACCTGTTCGATAAGCAATGGATTGGAGTGTACTAAAATCAAGTTTAGCTGGCATATCAAATATATTTGATAGTGAACGTTTTTCTGCTGTTTCAATAATATTACCATTGTTATTTGTTGTACGAAAAATTTTATTATCCGTATTTCCATCAACTAAAAATGAAATCGTACGACTAAGTCAATAGTAAAATTAGATGTCCATTTTGTTTACCTGACGGAAGTTTTTTAAAGGCCATTTTTGGAAAATAGGGACTCTCGGTTATATCCTTTATTGTTCCAGCTAATGATAAAAATACACTTGATAATGTATCATCTTGAGCAGAAGCATTAGCACGATTATCTAGAAAAGAGATATTTTAAATTTATGTTTTGTTGCTTTTAAATTTTATATCAACCTCTGACATTATCAGTCGAACCGAGTGACTTTGTTGGAATACAACTTGCATTTGGAAATATAGGATGAGAATCGGCACTCATTGCACCATCACTATCATCATCATCGTCATCAAAAGACGATGCCGATGAGCGACGATTACGATGATTTGTTCTATAACGATGAGCAGTTTTAAATGCCCATACAGCTCGAATTACTGATCGTAATGTTGCCCAACGATCACGTCGTTCCCATGTACCTTCATAAACAGCCTAAACACGAAGAAAACAATACACTATAACGGTCATTGTTTAATAATTCGATGGATTTTCTAACTTTATTATAAGCACCATAGGTAACAGCATTCCATTCGATACCGGTTTTCTTCATAAATGAATAACTTTTAACAGCAAGTATAGGATAATCATAAATACCACACAGTTGAATAATAACACGAAAACAAATCTAGAAAAGATTTATTGAAATAGTTTTATCGGTATTTTTTTTTCTTTTTGTTTGTTTTCTATTTTTACTTCATCAGGATCTGTTAAATGTTGTCGATTCATTTGAACAAGAATTTTATAAGCATAATTTAAAATATCTCGTGGATTTGTATAACATTCAATCATCGTAGGTAAATGCATAAACCACAGTGAATAAACATTTGATAATAAACAATAAGCCCATTGAGTAGCTTTTGTTTTATTTTCTCGAGCAACCTACAAAAAATAAAATACCGTCCAATTCATCACAGTAGATTCTTTTTATTCTACAATAAGTTTATCGGATATTTAATATTACCTTTTGACATTTATCTCTCTCGAACTTCGATCGTTTCACCATTGGACTATTCGGTATATATTTTATCGATGACGTTTGTGATTGTTCTTGTTGTGATTTTAAATTTGTGAGATCTTTTTTTTCTTGAGGATGTATTCGATTTCCATTCTTCATAGTTTTATTCTGTTTACTGTCATTATGGACATTAACTCCCGAATGATTAGGATCGAGAAATTCTGGTAATATTAATGTTGTTTTTTCGCTTAGAACATTCTTTATCGTATCATGTGTATCGAGTAAAAAGAATGTTTGTGGTTCATTATTTTCAATAATGGCTTTCATTTTTGTACAGCATTCATCGAAAAACGCTAAACTATAATTATGATGAAGATTATCGTTAACTAGCGATGTTTGATTTAACGTGCTCGATGATAAAAATGAACGTTCTTCAATAAAACGACTAAACATTTGCGTATGTAATATATGAGAGTAAAATTTCGAATAGGATGAATCTCTTGAATGTAAAAAGCTATCGAATTCAAATAGAACAGACGCATCAGTTGATAATTGATTGGGTCGACGTAAGATTGGCCGTAAGAATTGTTTATAACCATAAAAACATGTACACATAAAACGAAGAAAAACCTCACGTATGCGTGTTTCCATATTGCGTTCAAGTTGAACCATTTGTATGCGTAATTCGAAATCATTACGATTACGTTTTAAACGTGTTCGTATATCGTATAAACGTTGATGATATGCAGTAAGTACTTGGGATTCTATTTCATTTAATGATTGTTTTAGTAATCGAAACTAGAAGAAAATAAAATTATAATTTAATTGTGCAAAATAAGAATATTGAAATCTACCGGTTTCTTTGGAAACATTTTTATAGGCCAATGTTTTTGTTCTTCAGTTCTAAAAAAAATGATTCATCGTGTAGAATGATACCTATCGGAATTTATCAGTAAGTGCAAGTATTGATGTGTAGATCTTCTACTCCTTCTTTGATTTTCTCGCCATGCCATTAGAAATTCGATTTCAAAGTATCAGTCATACTTTATCCAAGAGATAAGCAACTGTCGTTTAGATATAAAATCTTATTTTATTTTAATCTTACCCTCCGATGATCATATTTGTATCCAAATCAACACATATAACATCATGAGGTGGTCCACATAGATCAAAATAACGTGAATCAATACCTATAAAATGAAAATCAAATGAATAGATTCCACAATCGATATCTATACTAGTTACTTACCAATAATAAAAGGACATGGTGCACTTAGTACATCACTTAAGGCTAGGGGACATAATGGTATATATGGACATTGCCATTGGAATGGAAAGAGCATCTGAAACGAATATATCGATTTCTATTTCGAAAAATCTTAGAATAGATCAATAGTCTTACACAATTCACTGCTTCAACGACACCAGTCAATACTGATGATCTTAATGAATGAATAAGCAATTTGGATTCCAATAAAGCAAATAAAAATAAAGTTAATGTATTATCTGTTCCTAAATTTCTTAGAAGATCAACAAATGATGCACCATTTTGTGGTAGACCATTATCTTCGGGTAGAACAATTAATAATGGTTCATCGTATTGCACAAATATTCTCGGCTTTGATGGCGATGGAAATGGTACATTATAAAAGAAATGTTTCAAGTACTGTTCAATTAACGGTATACGATCAATCAATTGATTATTACTAGTTGTTGTCATACCCGATGAAACAATTAATTGATAGATGAGAAATAAGAATCGTCGCAATGTATCGAAAATAGGATGCCGAGAAAAAATAACAATACTCGTTGATGCATATAAATGATCATTATCAACATCCAAACGATTTAATAAATCATTGTTAGTTAATAACAAACGATCGTATGCAGTAAAAAGTTCATAAAATGATATGCAAGCACCATATTTTTTGGTGTTCGATAAAAGAAATGTTGAAAACGTTGGTGTGACACTTTGTAAGGTCACTTTTGATGGCCATCGTTCAATAAATGCACCCATAGGAAAACAGAATAGAGGCGTCTTATCAGGAAATACACAATATGGATCATCGTCGGTTGGTGGAAACGTATAAAGAATACGTGGACGATATTGTATACGTACAGGATAAATAACAGATTTTTTATAACAAAGAAAGATGTTTGAGCCAAGCATTGAGCGATTTAGATTTTTATTTATTTTATTAAATGAATGTGGAGGAGTTTCACCCTAATAAAAGAAACATAGATTCTTCTATTCGATTTTTAATTCATAGAAATATAACATGATTATCATCTTTTGAATTCGGACTTTTTTCATAAGATTGAGCCCAGCAACGTATGAAAAATCCCAATAGAATCGATTCTCTTGGATCTTCTATTGGCGCAAATACCTGTCTTTGAGTAGAATTTCAGGGCAAGATGCCAGAAAAATGCTTATTACTCTGGACAGATGATTTTTCATAACTCACTGAGCTCTACCTAATGAAAAATGTTCTCTTGTCGGTTCAATTTTGCTTTTATTCATACCTTGCTCTCAATAATAACACAAATATCTGTAACAGCCAAAGTATTGCAAAAAATCAATGAAGCAGCACGTCGATATGTAATTAAAGTACGCTCTTTACTAAACGATGAACTGTATATACTCGCTGGATATCCATGCGGCGTTGTTTCAATAACTGAAACATTTTCCATAACCTTTTCTCTTCCTTCCAATAAAACTCCAATATCTGTGATGGGTGGTTTATCACGTCCACGTCGAATACATAAAAACATTTCATAGTTACGTAATCCGCTATGATTGAGATTCGCGGAAAATTTACTCGGAGTTGTCAATATTGATTCATAGCCAGCTGGTGGATCTTCTCCATGTGTTCGATCGATAATCACGATATCAACAATGGGTTGTTGATGTTGCGGCGTTAAATCATAATTTCTAGATGGTAATGATATAGATGTATCTGTTGTTGGCGATGATGCTGCTGGAAGCAAATCATCTCGTTCGATAGGACCTGTACTCCCAACACCGATAAGTGCAAAATGATCAACTAATGGTATATCATCCATTCATTTTTATTCTAAAATAATCAATTTTTTATGTTTTCATTCTTACTTTCAATCAGTATCATTGATCGAAAGAAAACTATATATATATATATATATTTATTTATTTATATATATGTAAATCAATCTTGAAATGATATGAAGACAAAGACGAACGAGAAAAGATAAAAAGAAAATCAAGGATCAGGTAACAGCACAAGTTTTTAATAGTGTGTTATATGACACAAAAGAAGACGAAATAAATAGAAGCAAAAAAAGAAGTTTGTATTTTCTTTTTTTGTTTTGTTTCGAAAGATACACGATGAAAATATTTAACTGAACAACAGAAGACATAATAAAATTAAGAACATGCGTATGTTGTTAAAAGATTTTCTCATAATAAACATTGCACTATTCGAATGTGTACAATAATTTTGTATTTCTTAAAAACAAAAAAACATAAAGTTTTTGTTTTTTGATTTTTAAAGATAAATCTGATTTTTATACTTGTTTTCTCATTGAAACAATTTATATACATCGACTAAAGATAAGTAGTTATCGTAATGAAACTAAACGGCATCATCATGATACCACCAACGCGTCTTTTTCGGATCACTTGATGCTGTACGAACGTACCAATCGTTGTCAGGTGGACGACTCTAAAATGTAATTAATCATATTTTACATAGAATTGTAAATATTCCGAATGAAAATACTAATCAATCAAAAACATTATTTACTTATATTTTCAGAACATTCTCTACAGCAAAATAAAAAGACGTTTTCCAGTGCCATTCATTTTTTTTATAGTGTGTTAATATTTGCTTTATCTTTTCTTCAGTCAATATTAGCAAGACAAAACAATCAAAGAAATAAACAGTCCGACTTTGAATTATTTTGCATTATTTTATGCACAATTACCTTTACACATTAAGTATATTGGGTGAATCACAATTACTTACAAATAGAACAACAGTTATAGCTGGATATATCGAATTTTATTATTCTCAATTTTTGAAATGTTTGAAAATCGTGTAATTCGTTCTTTGCACTCATGAATAGAATCCAATAGTTGTCATTAGAGCTTAGTTGAAAGATGAGAAATTCTATACGGTATAGTGTAAGATAAATTATTCTATATATATTTGATAATCAAAAATTGAATTTCACCATACTGACTAATTGTTGATCTTATACACGAATTTTGATTCAATGTTTTCAGTACTAAATTTAGTTCATCTATCTTTTGTATGCTTAGCAAACAAACTCTCACAGTTGTTAAATGGTATTTTCCCGATTAATATCAAATTGAATTCTATCTCGTATAATTAAACAAAAACTATACCTTGTCTTTGCAACTTGAAAGCATAGATAATATACTAAGACAAACAGCATTTATACTCAACGCCGGTGACCAATCATCGGTTAAAATCGACAAACATATATGACCATTTGAATAAATATGCGGGTGAAGAGGAATGTTAGAACCAATAAAAGTCACCTGAATAACAAACAAAAATAAAAACTCTTTTAAAAGAAATTATTTTCTTACCTGAGGTGAATCAAATGGGTATTGATCAGAAAATTTAAATAATAATTGATATTGTTCACCATCATATAGTGTTCCCGATGCGCCTTCCATGTCAATTCGAATCCTGTAAATACACAAAAACAAAGCATCGCATCCAAATTGTGAATTAAAAGAAAACAACGAATGAGATTCTTACTTTCGCATATCAGAAAAATCGTCTACTACTCGACTATAAAATTAAAATTGAATTAATTTCGAAAATCTCACATTTGAACAATACATACATCCCCGGCGTTGGATTTTCTGTTAGTAGTTTAAGCTCTTTTGTCAGGCGTTTTCGAACGAGATCAAACTAAAAGACAAAACAAAAACAAAAAAATAATCAACAAATAATATATTTTTTGTTCGCTGAATCGATTATTTATTGACACCTGATAGATACTAACCGCCATGAATCAAGTGTAGGAGTACGTAAATAAATATTTCTATTATTCTATCAATTTGAAAATATATTTATATATAGGTATTTATTATTTATAGCAATTTCATCTGAAAACACAAAGAAATTGTCCATCAGTATTCGTCATCTTATCGATATCAATATGACATCATTCAAATCAAAATATTATTGCGTAAAACAAGTCATTATTTTTCTTTTTCGTGTTAAACAAAGCGAACAAAAAACACAAAGAAAAAACAAAAACAATTAAAAAATACAAGCGTAAATTTGTTTTTATTATTATTGTTATTTCGAAGACATCGCGATAGAGATTTGTATTCTTTTCTGCTGTTTATATACAAAAAAATACTGTTAATAAAAGTATAAAACAGAGAATATTTGCTATTATCAATCACAGCACGAACAACATAGTATATATACAAGAGCGCATTTATTGCAAAAATTTGTTTTCATTGTTTAATTGACATCGACTGAAAATGAGGTGCCATTTTGTCCACTTCAGACGATGAAATTCCTTGTTCGACTAGAAACAGATTTTAGTTAAAAATAAAAATGACTTTTGATAGAAATGATGATGTTTACCTTGAGATAAATGTTCACTAAGGTCACCAAGAGCATTTCGTCGACCATTTCTTCTTGCTGCTTGAAACATTTTCACGTCTTCAGCTTCAGAAATCGAAGCGGCTGTTTCACTTGTATTACTGTCACCTGGAGCCAATCCACTCATTTGATCGGGACGAAAACAAGGTATTATGAAAAAGGTGTAGTCAATGAATACGACTGAAATAGAAACAAAATCATTTTGATAAATCAAATAGGTATCATACAAACGTCAGTCAATACTTAAGAGAAAAAAAATAAACAAAACGGAAGGCGCACACAAGGGCTTAACGTGTGAAATCAATGACGATTGGTTCAAACTAATGTCGATTCATATTATAATCATTTTTTTTAAATAGATGTCTCTCAATCATCATGACAAACATATGTCAAGAAATTGTAAGTGGCGTGGCATTGCCACAACTAGTTATGAATGGCATACACTAAAATAACTAGTTTATTAGAGAGAAAAATATCGAATTAATTATCAGCCGCTTTTTAATTTCTTCAAAGAAAAACTAATAATAATAGACAAGCCTTAAAGAGCACTAAAAAAGACATTGATTACATTAAATATGACACTTTTTGTTTCAACATTGCAGAATAACTAATTTGAAGAAGACGTTTCTCTTTGTTCAAGACAGACTCTTATTAGTTCATGGAAAAAAAAACTAAAATAACCCTAAATAGGAGACTACATTAGTCTCAATTATTATAAGAGACTTATAGAAAAATTGATGAATAGAAAATTAGCATCAGACTGCTCACTTATAAACTCATCACGGCTTCTTGTTCGAGGTACGCACTCGCCCAGAAATTCAACTTCTCTTTAACAAAAAAGAACGTATTACCTTAAGTAAATAATATTCTGCAACTTCAAAGCGAACATTTTTTACTATGTTTTCAGTCAACCTATTGTGATTAACGATAAAATAGTCATAACTTGGGAACGCAGGCATATTTTCTCTTATCATTTTTTTGAGCTTGTTCTTCTAATCTTACTGATGTAGGAAAATATTAACCGAATAACTTCGTGAGACTATTATGGATAACCTATGATTGTTTTAATGTGCCATACTTCATAATTTTCTGTTTGACAGATATGTATATTCTGATATGGTTGATGAAAACATACGTAATATTAGTTCTCGTTTGTCCTTCGATTGTATTATCTACTATCGAGAAAATTATTCCTCGAACATTCTATTTCATGTTTCCTATTATGCAACCATATTGGCATGAAAATTGAGTTGTTACTATTTTAAATAAAGTATTCTTCAAAACAATTTGCTGAGTATCTCCATCTGGATGATTGTAGTTTGAGTATAGTTGAGCAAAGAAAAATATGATTTATTTTCTATTCATTTAACAAACGTCTAATAAGATTATTTGTCATGCTCGTATGCTTAGTCGGGTGCGAATGATAAACACTCAAAAAACTTACCTTTTTTTTTCACAACTCGAAAGTTTAATAATAACATATTGTGTCACTATACTATCGATTTCTATTAGTCAAGACGAAAAAAATTAACGATTGCGAAAGCGTATCGCACTAGAAAAAAAGACATAGCCTTAAGAACGTAGAACAAATTAGCCAATGTTAACTTAGCGGAATATTGATACTTATTGAGGGTTCTTTCATTTAATAAGGGAAGAAAGAAATACCTCTACAATGCCGTTTCAATACTTAACTTATTATATACAGTCTGTAAAAGAAAATGCATGAGCAAATAATGATTAATATTCAAACAAATACTGCACAGCCGGTAGTCAAGGAGCGACTATTGAAAAAAAAATAGAGGATTCTTTTTATGAATTTATACTACGTTAGATTTCGTTGCTTTTTTTTTCTATTGACATTTCAATAGGTATCACGATGAGATGAATACAAAAAACAAGAGTTTGCAGGCTTCATAAAATATCAATAATACCATAAATGCCGTTGAAACAATAAAATTTCTTTGTATGCGATATTTTATTTTTGCACTCATGTAGCTAGCGCCCGAAGCAAAGAAATTGACTTTTGAAATCAATCGAACTATTCATGTTGTTTGTTTTTCTCGTTACTACATCCGCCGATGAAAAGAACCCTTTTTACATATTTTATATCAAACACAAAAACAAGCTATTGAAAGTGTTGCTCTGAAAAACAAACTGATTAAAAAAGACAAATTGCCTTACTGGTTTAGTTTCACTCACAATATGACGCCAACACGGACAATACTTATCTTGCTGTCAAAATGAAGCTCTTTACAATGTTGCCAATGCTTTTCTCTTTTATAGCGTATATTTCTCTATGTTCTTTTCTGTCTCTCATCTTCGCCAGAATATTTTTTTTTGGCTCTTTTACTAAGAACAGGCAAAACTATATTACATATTAATAAAAACTAGAGCTCTTGAATTTTCGTATAATGCAATGTATTTATTCTAAACCTGACGTGCATTATAGCAGTTATTGTGTGCGTGCGTTTACTTTTGAAACAAAATTAGTCAAGAATAATTTCTATTCTAGAATAATGTTTTCATTACATAGCCACCGAATGTATTATTTATATATATATATATTGCTAATATAGATAAATGAAAATAACAATTCGATTCGGAAAGATTGTAATTATTAGTATACATATATATGACTTTAATAACAATTTATCTATTATCACATGAAAGCTGTGAATCAGAATTTAGAATGAAATCATACGTTTTCTTAATTATCTAATTCAGTGATTTTCTTCGGCTGTATGTTCGAAATACTATTAAAAAGACTTATTTAAGAGTATGATATTGAGTAAAATGGTTCTGTTCTATAGATGTCACTAATAAGTCGAATAATATAACAATAAAAATTGATTAACAAGTTATAAAAGATAGAAAAAAAGTCATTATCAGTTTTTATTTTTCGAACAGAGTAAAACTAGATCAGGACAAAATCCTATTGGATAGAAAAGTGCTTGTCAACAAAAATGGTTGTCACTAGTGTTTATTGTTTTCTTTCACATAGATATTTTATTGTGTCAAACAAATACTGGCTACTTAATTGGAGCTTCATCTGTTCATTGTTAAAGCTTTTATCGAATGAAACCACGTTATAATTTGCGTACTCAATCAATTAAACTTCAATCAATAACTGAGAAAACTAAATCTCCTTCAAAATTATCATCTCGAGTGTTAGTTTTGCATTTTCAGTTAGATGAAACCTTGTTTTTTTTTCTTCTTTTTGTATTTCAGTGCTAAGAAACCTAAATGTCGAAATTCAAATTCTACAATTAATCAACAAACTCGTCGTCATAGCTTACGCTTGACATCAACTATTAAACAAAAACCATCATCTTCAGTAAATAGTGATGAGCCTGGTAATACAAAATTGATAATGTATTGACAATAGTAAATGGGTTTTTCTTTTTCTTAGTACCAAAATGGCGTAAAATAGAGAATGCTAATGTGGATGAAAACGCATCGATAAATAATAATGATGATGATGATGATTATGATGATCTGCTTGCTCGACATCATCGACATAGAATCGACGAACAAAAAGATCGAAAGTAAAACACGTCGTATCTTATTGTCAGTCTTAAACTAAAATATTTTATAGACTTTATGAGCGATATGTGCGTGGTCAACGAACTCTCCGTCGGTTACAATGTCGTCGTACACATACAGCACATTTAAATCCAACAACTAGAAATCGCTTATTACGTGAATTAGAACGTGAACGACGTTATGCTATTGAAGATAAAATCTGTGCATATCGTAAGTATTTTTTCGAAACCTGAAGAAGCCTTATTTAGAATTCAGCAGTCTATCAGTATAAAGGTCAAAGTGTATCATGTGATGAGGTTCCCATTGGTAAACATAAACCATCTTGTCTTATTATAATATTTAGCAATGAACCGTGACCATGACATTTGTTTGATTGATTGTATTTGTCTCGTTTAAAAGAAATATTTATTCATTTTAGTTGCCAATCATAGAATTATGTTTCAACATGGATGTAATATAGATTCAAAACAACCTATAACATGGTCAAACCTTGAAGAACAACTTCCTTGTAATAGAAATGTTGGTACAATACATGAATTAGATGTTATGATTAATAATTTAAAAAAAGTTATTCACAATTCAAAACAATCGCTGTAAGTAAAATTTTCAAATGAAATTCATTTTGTTTTTCATAGAAATCCTAATCTAGATCAAAACCTCGATTATCGGTACATGAAAGACAAAAGCAACGTTTAGGAGCAGCAACAAGCATAAGTCCGACTGTTTCAACTAAATCTGAGACTTTACAAAACCATGAAATCAAACAACCCATGACCATATCAAACACTACGTAAGAGATTAAATTGAAAAAAAAATACGAGATGTTGTTTTTAATCCTTCAAAGTGTCAATATACCACCATCACAATTATCTTTACTATCGCTTTCGCCTCGTGTACCTGTCGTTCGGTTTACAGATGAACATTATAATAAATTACAAACAAGTAATTCTCAACATTTAACATGTATACAAAATTTTTTGTTACATCACAATAATGAACAATCAAATGCTAATCATCATAGTAGAAAGTAAAATTAGAAATCTTTCTCTTCAATTGTTAATTTCTCTATTATTTTAGTACAAACAATGAAATATCAACGCCGAATTCTAGTAGAAAATCAGTTCTACGCCAGAAACCTACGCATGTCAAGTACGAAAATATTAATCTTAGAAGTTAGAGAAAACACTTTTATGTTTATTGAATTTAGTTTACCGGATTCATTGTCAACGAAAAAACGACCATTGGAAAAAGAAAACTACAGTGTTCTGACGAATTCATCCAGTAGTCAAACACAGCCAAATATTGTTCTGAGGAACACATCACCGTATGTAACGGCGATTGATCATAGACCATATCGATCATCGTTGTTTTCTGTAGAATGGTGTCGATCAAATATACCTCGTCTTCTGCGTCGTCTCGTGCCTATCCAAACACGAGGAAAAATCTAATGATTCATAATTCTTTCCCAACACGTCGACAACGAAGAGCGTCGTAAGTTTATTCTATTAATAACTTAATTCTCTAATTATATGGTATGAACAATACGTTAAATTGCATTGATTAAATATTTTAGCTTCGCAGAAAATTTCATATCATGTGTTCCATTTTTTTTTCTATTATTAAATCTAATTGAAAGACAAAAATGCTATCATCATTTATGACCTAGTCGTTAATTTCTAGGGCTCATATTGGATTTTCCGTATATACTCGAAAGATTTTTTGTAATAGTACATTCTTTCTATTTTAGTACCAATGTTTAAGAATCAATATATTATATGGTTTCTCATATATTCAATTTTGACTGTACATAAGTCATACGTCGTTAACATTTTTTTTTTGTAATTTCGTCTAACGAACCTGATGGGTCCTTTTTCTTTTTGTTGTTTCTAATTCGTCTTCTTCTGTTCTTTTGTCTTTACCAATTATATGTATACAAAATGTTCTCTGCTAGTGTTGAACTTCTTTTGCTTCTGTCTCATCGATTTACTATTATTACGTATTTTTCGGTTTGTGCAAACAAAAATGTGTTTTTTTCTTTGTCAAAAAAAGACAACAAAAGAATTAAGATAAATGATGAAAAAACAAAAAATGTTTCTTTTTATTGGACAAAAATCGAGGTCGTATGATAGAAAGAGATAGCTGAGAAGCCAATAAAAATTGCTTGAAGAACGAGAGACGTACCATTGAGCTGTTTGAATTTTTATTTTAGATTTATTTAGATAAGACTAAGAAAACAATCAATGATTGAATTACCAGATTTATTTCATGAAAATCGGTAGGACAATTTATGTCATTTGAAATTAAAATTTTTATTTCATCTGTATATAGAATTTCTGAATTGACGTTATCTTTGATTCTATACGCACCTATTGGTCTCTGCCTTGCGTTGATTCGTTCTCTAGCATTATTATTTTTATTTATTATATCGTCTCTGCTACCAACGAGTTTATCTCTTAATCAGTAAGTTATGTTCAATTTAATAGATATAAAATTATTTTGAATACATATCATATTAGATTTCTAAATGGTGCGATAAGTTTTATTTTAACATTTATCTATGTTGATGAAGTCGCACGCAATCGCGATGATGTTAGTAGGAAAACAACAAAAATCATTGTTGCTAATCGAGTGTCTTGCTTGGATTTAATTGCATTGAGAGGATTTTTTTCAAATAATAAATGTAAAATGGTAAGCGAAATCGATTGCTGATGTTTTATGGTTTCAGAATTAATATTAATTTAGGTTAATTTATGGAAAGAAACTTCTTGGTTTAATTATTTTCCATTAAATTTTATGGACTCATTTCGTACGCAAGAAGATTTATTTGATTTATGTGGCAAACAAATTCAAGATTCTGGTATAGTATTACGAAATAACCTATAGAGCGAAAGTCTAGTTGCAAAATAATCACTCATTTGATGAAATCGGTAAGCGTTGACAATCAGAATTACAAATTCATTGCAAAGTGAAAAAAGTTCGGTAAAATTTTTAAAATCGAGGAACGAGCGCAGGAATAAGCAATGCTGATAGTAAAACACAAACCTTTGTTTTAAAAACTATTTCGAATTGACTCAAATGAGTGAATCGTTTGTGTCAAGACTTTCGCCAGATAGGTTTCTTAATCTAGAATTCTGTTTACAGATTATCAACTTATTTTCTTACCTGAATGTGAACCAACAACTGGTTCTGATGGTTTATTAAAATTCAAGTAAACAAAACAAAAAATGATATAGTTTGATATTTTACTCTTAGTTTTTCTTTAGTTTATTACCATTTACGCTTGGAAAAAAACTTGATCTACCTATTCTACCAGTATGCCTTCGTACGTCTCGTGCATTTCAAATTAGAACTGTAAAAAAAGAATTTTTTTCGAATTTTTCCTTGTCTCATTATTTTTATAATTAGAATATTTTCAATAGTCATCCATATACGGATCTATTCTGGTTTTTATTCAGTCCTTATACAAGATTTCATATAAAGTAAAATATTAGCTGATGTGATTAAAATTCTATTTTTCTTTGTAGTTCTTTAGCAATCGTTTCCCCGACCGATGAGTCTTCCGATGAAGCTTTCTGTGAGAAAATTCGAGAAAATATGTCTCACGCAATGGGCATAGAATTGACTCAATTTGATGAACAACAAGTAGCTGAACTTAGAAAACGACCTGATCTTGTTCAACGTCGACATGGTAAATTAAATTAAATTTGCTTTTATGATAAAATCTTTTGAAATTAGCAGCACAACGTCGTGCTGAATTTCAACAAATGATTAATATTGTTCATCAACAAGTACCTCTTGCATCATTGGAAGCTATTCGATATGATCTTGGTTTGTAGATTTGTTTGGTTGAATTTTTCTCGTAATGATTGATCTATTATAGAAACAACTAAAAATATTCAAAGAACAATAACTAATTTAAACGAACGTGTCGCTGCAGCAGCTCGAGCAGCAAACAAGCCAACATCATCAACTACATCTTCATATGCAATATCAAAGCCTTCCGGTGGCAGTAATCATCGTCAGACATATGAACGACTAAAACACGAGTTAATCGAAAAGAATCGACAATTATTTTTAAATAAAAACTGTAATTAATATAGACAAGATAAAAATTCTTTTGAAAACCCAGCTTTTTTATGAACTGCACCATGAAAATAAATATATTGAAAGATGTCACCGTCAGTATTTTATCTAGGTAGTAGTCGCGTTGCCTCATGATGACGAAATCATGCTTTTTTTCTTCTTCTTTCCTCTTGTTATTGTGCAAGTCTTGCATTTTTATACGCTATTTTTCATTGCATTCACACTTTGTCAAAATCGCACACTATGTCGTGTTTAGTGCATCATAAATGCTTTCGTTCCTCATTTCACAGTGTTATTAATGAACTTCGAAATGAGGCTCGTACACCAGTATCAATTTTACAGACGATGCCGCGTCAATGTTGCAAATGCAACGATGAAAATCAACAAACAGTAGAACTTGCGGTTATGAAAGAGCAGAATGAATTGCCGAAATTAAAACAACTTATCGAACGGATAAATCGAGAAAAACAAACTAATCCAAAATTAGTTTTATCATTGAATCTACTAATTAGTTTTATTGAAAAAAATCGAAGTCCTACTCTAGTGTCATCAAAACAAAGTAGTTCATCATCGAGCAATAACGATTCTTCAGCAGGTTCAAAAGATAACAGTCCCATGAACGTATCGAGACCAATATCTACACGTGGAGGAAAACCTGGAAGACAAACCTGCAAACCTAGTAGAAAAACGCCAGAATCATTGGAAAAAATAAAAAGTGGAACATTTGTTTTTTTGCCATACGTTGGCCAAGTTAAGAAACAAGAAAAACGTAAAAGTTATTACGAAATATTAGCTAATCACTTGCAACTTCAACGATTTATAAGTCGTAATGGTCATATTCCTGAATTAGAAAATCAGTATGGCGTTCGTATTAACATAATTACAAAAAAAACAAGAAGAAACGTTACTCAAGCACTTGATAATGCTATGAAGGGTTTTGAAAATCTTAAAATTCATAATCATCTGGAAACTATAGAAAATGCACAACAAAAATTGGGTGAATGGGTTCTTATACGCTCAAAAAAACCACAGAAGGAAACCAAATCAGCTAGTGTTCAGCAAGCATTAGAAGATCTAATGAATCGATGGGAAAGTTGTTTAAAAGTCGAAAAACGTGAACGTGATGATGACTCTGATTCTGGCAAAGAAGTTCCAAAAAAGAAATAAATAAATTTTAGTCTCATTGACTGCTTTCAAAGTGTTAAATTAATGTTGTATTTTTTTTCTTTTTTGTTCATTAAACTCGCTTTTCACATTTGTATTGCTCTAGAAATACCAAAAAAATGGATATAAAAATTGAAGTAGCTAAGGATAAGTATTCGTCTTATTTATGTTTGTAAGAACGGAGTGTGGGCGTGGGTGTGGACGAAAGGAATATTAACATCCACATCCACACCCATTCAGAGATAGATTTGAGTAAAAGTATAGATAAATCGAACCAAAACTCAAATTAGAAAAGCACGGTTCGATTTTATGTGTAATCTATGAGTGCGTAGACTAGTTTGAGTTATAGATTCATTTAAACGGAGAATTTCAAAGATAGCTCTCCTGGATGATTGTTTTTCTTCATTTTATATCGAGCTTATTGAAATTTTTCTCAATGCTGTTCATGCTTCATTATTTGTGACGCATCTAATTTCACTATACTCATTTAATATCGATAATAGCATCTAAGTGAAGATTACTTGGTGATACTTGCAAGTAAATTTTCTACTGAAGCATCGTTGTCACTCGTTGTTTTCGTTACAATCATTACCAAGCTAAAAGTATCTGAAGTCTCTCACGTAGGCCTTTTTGGTGGTTTTGTTTTTTAGATACTCACGTTCATTCAGTAGTGGGTTAACGATATTAAAGTCGCGTTACTTGTCTAAATAAACATTTCATCATTACCATCAGAAAAAGAATCTTTTTTTATATTGCAGTGTATGAGTCACTCTTACAAATTTGTGTCGATCACATGCATCACATTTCGGTCCATCGGAACAATAGATGACTCTCAAATTTGATGAAATAGTTACGAATATTAGTGTTGCACAAGGTGTATGACCTTATATTTAGCTCAACATAATTCAATTGTAACTAATAAATTAATGGGATCATCTTCAATAAAAATAACAATCATTGTATCTTTAAAAAATAAATTAGCAACCCCTTTGTAAATGTATTGATTCGAGCAGTTGAAAACAAATGTAATTCTATTACTATTATGAATGGTTTATTTGTAATTATTTCAAAAATAAATCGTTGTTTTCTATTTGTTAACTTAGAAGAAAAGATGAAAAATTGATACTTTTTTTATGAAATTTTAAGCAGTTCGTTTTGATTTGACTAGATCTGAATAATATTGTTACAAAGAGCATACGTTTCAGCGATTTCAGCGATTACACAATTCATTTCTATTCGTAGAGAAAAAGAAGATATTCTGTTAATCAAATCTAGAAAAATTTAACGCCATCTACTGTCTTTTATTTAAGTGAAAAATGTTGCTCTGGCAGGTCGATGTTACCATCAATCCGCACGATTTCGTCATCGCAACTTTTTGATCATAGTCTACACATAACTTCATTACTTGATAAGTAAGGATTCATTCATTTTAAGATGAATTTAAGTATAGTTAAGAAAGATTTGTTGGATTACAAAGGATCTAGAATATACATTTGATCTATATTCTGAATTATGTTCGACAAAGTAGTAAAGTCATATATCTTCGAAACTAACATTGATAACTGGTGTAATGGATGTTTTACATCATATTTTGCAACAAAGTAATGAGCTTTTAGGTCGTTGATTTAATCTTTTTTTCCATTTCAATAGAATTGAAGAAAAAAATCCAATCCTGTGTTCATTTCAAACAATATTACTTAGACATATTCTTTGATCAGGAAATATGTTCGTTCCGATCCTCATGTTGTTACTCGGTCACTAGTTGTCAAATTCACAGAGATACTGTTCGTTTGTTTTCTTTAAGAACAATCATATTCTGCACGTTATATGTTGAATTATGGTTCATTGAATATTTAAGAATCGCAGTAGCAAAAAATGGATAGAATGATTTTTCTCAAGATTCATATGATCGATATAAAAGAAAGTTTTACTCTATTTAGACGTGTACAATTTCAAATTATAGAAATGCTTATTCATGTTAAAAACATTTATCTCGTTTCGCATATAAAAAGAATCTATTCGAAACTCCTTCGTTGAACAAAAAAATCGAATTTTAATATCACATCTCAATGTTCCACCATCATTTTCACATCTGATATTTGATTAGAGAAAAAAGATTTGACAATTCTTTAATTTAATCGAAAGATGTTGTTCTAGTAGGTTGATGGAAACCTGCGAACAATTTTCAGTAGCTATCCTTCGTGTAAGGAGGTCCCGTAGAAATAAAATGATGATACGATTATTTCTCTTTGTCCAGCATAAATTGTTTTGGTTTAATTGATTGTTGGGATCTCTATGTCACTCTGCCAATTCCCCTTTCTACCAATTACGTTATTACAATTGGCAGAATCGCCCTCTGACGTTCTGCCAACTGTAGTACTTTTTGCCAATTGGCAGTATGTCACAGACATCTCTGCCAATTGGCAAAAAATCGCCCATGGAAACTTGCAGGTTACTTAAGTTAATATTATTTCTATAGGTAAAAGATGTTGCTCGATTATAATAGGAAAATATGAAAGAAGAAACTTGACAGAATACGACTGATTTCATCTTTTCAAATGGCTATGAGTCATTGAATCTCTCTATTTTATCGTTACCTCTTTCTTTTTCTCTTTTCTCTTTTTCGTGTTTCTATCGGTCTAACTAATTTAATAAATAAATAAATAAATATCTCCCATAGGCTTATCGCCCGTTGAGGCCGGCGCTAAAGGGTCCACAAGCAGCCAGGTTCTATCGTGTTTTCTCTTTTACAGACGACGGTATCTGCACCCCATTCGTCCAACGCTTCCCCCGTTAATGATCATAGGTTGGCGATCACCATAGGATCACGTGGCCGTGCATCTATGTTGAAGTTATTGTTTTGACTCTGCATACTGACTAATGATATAATCGATACGCTATCGGATGAGTCATCCGGAACAATTAGCCGTTAGTAACTTGTTCAGGGTCATTCCATGGTTGGTGATACTGTGGTTTGAACACAGTACCTTGTGAATATGTGTCGAATAACATATCCACTCAACCATGGCGGCTAACTAATTTAGTTTGTTGAATTAACGGACCGACATTCCCTTTCTGAATAGCCAACTTACTGAACTAAATTGTATTCATGTACAGTCCGACTGATTACAATGTATCAATACTGGAGTATTTATCACATTTTCACATCATTTTTATTTTTCCTTTCATCCGCAAAGGCCATTAGATGTGTTTTATTTCTCGTCTCTACTACTATACTCGACTGGGCTTTGTTCCACTCTCTACTTCTAACTAATATTTTATTTTCTAAGTGCACTGAATTTGTACGTTCTCTCTTTTCTTCCTCTAATCTAATCATATTATTCTTGTTTGTAGATCACAACTTCTTCATTGCCGACCTCTGTTAATTTGTTAATATATAAATATTATTTTCGCTTGTTATGTCACCCATCAAATTGTATTCCGTTGAAAAGTGAATTACTCGTTCTGTTGCGAGAATTATTCTATAAAGTAAATCGGATCAAAAATCTTCGATGCTCATTGAAATTCATAATAAATTAAATAAGGAAGTGACAATTCATAAATCATAACAGAATAAAAATGTATCTTTAAGTTTAGTCGAAAATATTTTTTTAAGTTAATTTAGAAATTCGAGTTTATAGTTTCATAACCATTTCTGCCAATTGGCAGAAAATCATAAGACACGCTGCCAATTACAACACACTTTTGCCAATTGGCAGAAAGGGTTAATACCGATTGTTGAACTATCCACTAATAATTCTAAATATTTCGAATTAACCTCTCTTTAATGATGTTGAAATATACAATAAGTGATGGATGACTTTCTCGTGAGATTTCGATAATAACAAGTACATGGTCATATTACTGATACTGATGACGAGTTACCAGATAAGTATCACTTTTGTGGCCATATTCGATTACAGTTGTTTTACGAAAAAAAACGACTTTTTTCTCAAAAATAACTAAATACTTCAATGATGATCAGATAAATCCATACAAGCTACATAAAGATATATATATATTCTCACCCACACACCCTCAAGGTGTGTAGTGAATATTGAGCATCTGCTGAAATCACAACGAATTTCGCTTATATCGTGTCGTTTTCCATGTCGCTTTGTTTAATGTAATTTCCCACTATAATACAATGGTACACTTTTCCCTCAGGTTACCCTTCATCAGATTGTAACTCTTGCTGCCAGTTTTTTCTTCGTGTGATATCTTGATGAAACACATAGGTAAAGGCCATAAAAATAAAATATTGAGGCAAAAACAATTGTAACTGGAAACTGTCTTATCATTCGTACTTTCGAAGTGATTAGTTGTATTGGCAACGATTGTGTCATGCTAAATTGAAAACTAATTTCAAAGCCTATTTACTAATGCACAATTATCATATTTTTATATCGCTTATAATCTTATGGTTCATTGTGTTCAATTGAAATGGCATGTCATCAATTTTATAGAAATAATTTTGTTTCGGAAAAACATGTATTTTAGAATATTAAAATTCGATGTTGTGTCTAAAATATCTAAGTCAACTGGGACTTACATTCAGTCCTTCGCACACACACATTCTGAAACGAGCTGCTTCAATCATTTTCTTGAATTGGCCTTTTTCTGCTTTCAGGATTAATTTCCCGAGCGATGTTAAATTGTAAAGAAAGCGATCGATTAACGATATCGAATTTCTAATTATCGAAGGATCAAGTCGTTTTTTTTTCACTTTCAGTGAATGTGTGAAAGATTAACTATTCACCAGATGAAAACATCTGCACTATTGCTGTTGTATTTCATTTTAAAGAAGACGATGTCTACAAAAACAATCTCCTGTTTCTTACTCATTCTATGCAGGTAATGATAAACCTATTATTTTTCTACCGACTGAACATTCAGCAATCTTTCTTTAAAGCTTTACAGACTTATTCTTTTTTCTATTTAGTGTATTGCTAGTTCAAGTCAAATCTCAAATATGCCATGGTGTCGCTCAATATGCTAAATGTTCGCCAAATACTGGCTGCGGTTGTTTACATATTCCAGGCGCTATTAACGTCGGCATTTGTAGCTATGAATTTTTAGTAGAGTGTTCTGAACTAGTTAAATGCGATCACAACAATCTTTGTTATGAACCTGATCATCGATGTTTTCATCATCCTCGATGTCAGAGCTCGCCTGTCTGTTATCCAGTACCGACTTATAATCGACAACTTTGCCCACCAATCACAAGTAAAAGAACCGTCAGTTACTTTGAGAGTGACGATTTGACTATGAGTTTTCTGTATGCATGCTCATTAAAGAGCAGCCATACAGTATCATCTACAAACATATGCGCTAGCCATCCATTTTTATTTTTTGCATAGCAAAGTAGAGCTTGAACCAGTTTCAGTAATCTAGGGTTCACCTAATTAGGGTACTACTGTAAAGTCTTAGCAGCAATAAATTTTTATATCATTTTCTACCATTATCAATAGTGACGAACATCACAACTACAGCACCAGTTCCAACTACAACTACAACCCGTGCTCAGCAACTAGGTAAGCTTTGCTTAATTCTTTTTTCACTTACTCAATTTAAATGTTTCTAATCAGATTTACATAATTACGTTTAATGAAATTTGACTCTGCACAGGTAGCTAAATCTACATAGATAAAATCAGCTCTCTTTTATCATGAGTGATGTGGTTTTCAGCATAAGAAAAAAAACACATGAAACAACGTATAAACTCATTAATGCGGTGTGAAGCACAACATTATTGTAATTAGTTCTTCGCGAGTTTTCTTTTACTTGAAAATAAAACACGCATGTTTGTTTGTTACCTCATGATCTTAGCTATTGTAAATCAGAAAATATTCAATCAAACGTGATCTTACCTTAACGAAATCGAATGTGTGATATATTTTTTACAATTTTTGCTACTAAACTCCGTTCTTTGGGAAAAATCCTTCCAAAATCACGGATTTCAAAAGAATTTATCATTTTTTTTTCAAATTCGAAATAATAACACGAAACGCGAAACAGGTATGAAACACCTGATTACAAATTATGAATCATATACATAATGCAATATTTAATTGATATTGCTTTTTCAAAAATCTGTTTATAGACACGAATAGAGTTTTCTTAGTCGTGTATTTGAATATGACTGCTTTGAGTTTACTCGAAACTTAACCCAAGCCCAAACGGTACGGCGAGAAACTGTTGGTTCCGGTGAAATTCCGGCAAAAACATGGACGCAGTATTCCGGGGACCGGATACGACTATCGTTTCCGATTCGGTTGCAACTCCCAGACCCGACCGTTTTTATTTTCTTTGAGACGGTTTAATACCTTACAATCGACAAATTGGATAGCTCTCTCAAAAGAATCTCTAGAATACAATTGTATATTCAATGTTCAAATGTATGGAATATTAAGAAAAAGTTACAATTCCATACAAGCATTGATAAAGATTTTGGCTCTCTTCAAAACATTGGATTAAATTGGACATGATAGTCATTCTTAAAGCAGTTTCAAGGAGTACGAATTTAACAGCAGTGTGAGAACAACCAGACCGGATACAAAATACCGCATCAGAGATTGCACAACTCACAACTCACTGCTGAGAGCAATAGTTGAGCAGAGAGCACGATAGACTATGGAATTGTGTCTTCAAATTGGAAGATATTATTTAACTCAGATAATCTCACCCGACAATGCACGATAACTAGGTAAACGGAACCACTACTGACTGATTTAAATTAATTTAATTGCCAGAGTTCAAGACACCATAAAAAGCAATAAATTACACGTCCAATATCTGGAAAGTCTAGAAACCGACAAAATACTCAAATCTTATCATTTTAAAGGTCTTCAAGCACACCTGCCACAGATACGAACGGAAGGTGACAGGTAGGCACTGGAGCAGAAAGACCATTCTCTCTGAATCCAACCGAGTTAGATACGTCAAAAACGAAAGCGCTCAAAAAAAAAGTATTGAAATACTAAAACAGTCTTCAAACTGACCTAGCGATACATGAACACCCTGAATATCACCAATCTATCCACATGTTAAATGATGATAATTGAAAACAAGAATCGACATAGAACTTTGGATTTGTTATAAATCTTCCTTGAGCAACATTTACAAGCAGTGTTGTACTTTCAATCTGCAGAATATCATCCAATTAAGGTTAATAGAACAAATCACCTTCAAAAATCTTTATTACTAAAATCATGATTTCTGGCTTAAATCAAGCTCGAATTGCAGCGTTTCTTCGTGGAAAGATCTTAAAATATGATTTTCTATCGATCTCTATCTTCGTAGATCTTTCATATTTGTTTCAGGATGCAGAATCGTGGGTTCCGTTGTGCTTCCGGTTTGTCCCATCAATATCCTTTGCTTTTCCGTTTTGGATGTGAAGGTTTCCGCTGTCATTCCTGATTTCCTCCTCCCTGTTTCTCTAGGATCATTGTATGTTCCTTCGAGTTTCCTATGACTGGATTTGGGAGGAAGTTAAGGGTTCAGGGTACGGTTTTTTCCGGATGGAATACTGCTTCCACTTCCGATTGTTTTTCCTGCAGGATCCGGCGGGAAATCATCGACCTGGGCATATACGATAGAATTTTGTTTTTGGTTTCACTAGAGATTTTCGAATCAGACGCTCAGCTTAGTTTTTACAAAATAATATATGTGAATTCAGACTATCATAAAATACTGAAATCCAAATGAAATAAAAAATTATGATATTAGCCACCTAATACTTTCAATCATCGATAGCTAATGATAAATTATTTTTATTATTCTCTTGTCTAGATTATATACTGTTTCAAGTTTTTTCATACTAATTTGATTTTGAGATTTTGAGACAATTGGACAAACGATAAAAAGCTACAACTGATTCATCAAATCGTTTTGGTTAAACCAGATGACTCTGTTAAGTTTTCTCATAGAAGTTGTGAATATTTTGCTCGTATAAGTTTGAGTTTATTAGATACTACAGTTTATTTTGTTTATAATTATATGAATATATGCAGAAAAGGGGCTAAACTTTTCAGTTCCGTTATATTGTTTATAAAATGTCTAAAGAATTTATAGTGAATGGATTTCAAATTTAGTCTGGATAGTGTTCTATATTTTCATAAAGTGACGCTATGAAGCCCGATCTTTCTCTATTTAAATTCTCAAAAAGTATATTTGAGCTGTCTCTGACTATATAGCCATCTTATAATTTTGACTGTATTAGTTAAGATAAGTCTATGTTCTTATATTAGATGTTCGATATCGGCCTATGCGTGCATCCATTTCTGATCTATTCTTATTTTTCTCACCTATAAACTAGAGTGTGGATCTAGAAGGGTACACACAATCGAACTAAACATAATCATAGAGTTATATGAACGTGTTTGTGCAGGGTGTAGAGACATGATACAGGACATTACTTTTTTACTCATTTGGAATAAGTTGAGCGCAATTCCAATCGGCAACTTTTTTAGGTCACAAATGTATAGAATGTCAATGACTAGCGCAGTGTTACTGATGTTATGTGACAGAAAAAAGAAAATCGCAATCCTCTTTTAGTGACAGAATGATAAATCACTGACACTAGCAAAGTTTTTCGTAATATAATTTTTTCATTTCCAAAGAATCTTCCCATCGTGGAAAACATTTTCCAGCGGAATTTTCTTGAATTAAAAAATGATCTATTCAAAGAATTTTGCTCGAAACTTTCGAACTTATTTCATATACTACCTGCTCGAGAGAAAGAAAGAGATCTCCTTTTATTCTTAAGTCTTTCTCTTCTAGGTAATATTCCTGCTAATATCACAGAATAATTTATATAGTGTTTAATAAAAGATATTCTAGAACATAGAAGTAAGAAATATGCGATTTTCTAAATAGAAACTATTCTACTTAGATTTAAGAGAACGAAAAGAATTCTTATGTTCATGTGAGTCATATATAAGAAATAGGTCGTTATATTATTATGCGTGTCTGTTCATAGAAAATATACTCATAGCTAGCTATTAACTGAAATAATGAATACACATGAGACGAGACGAAACAACAACGACTCGAGAGTATGAAAAGTCATTATTGATATGGTTTCCCGAAAACAAGTAGCAATTTCCGAGAAGCATTTTCTTAACATTCAAAATTCGATGAATGAATAAATTTGTAGAAATCTTACAACCAAAACCTTTTAAACAGATGTTAACAAGACAATGATGTAATTATATAATCCTACATAATTATTTAAGTTTGATTTTCTACAAAAATATAGAATTTAAATACGCTTGAGAGAAAGAGAACGATATGCTATATTCTTTCTATAGAATAATCTTCCAGTATAGAAAAAACTTATTCTGAGGAATTTCTAGAAAAAAAGAATGATCTATTCAAAGAATTTTGCTCGATACTTTTGAAATTATTTTATATACTAGCTATACTCGAGAAAGACAGAGATCTCCTTTTATTCTTACTCTTTCTCTTCTAGGTAATATTCCTGCTAATGCTACATGGGCACAGAACGCAGTGACTATTGCTGGAGGTAACGGGTATGGGGGTGCCACTAATCAACTCAGCGTCCCTCATGGTCTCTTCGTTGATGATGATCAAACAGTGGTCATTGCTGACTACAATAATCATCGTATCATGCAATGGAAGAACGGTGATACAACGAATGGACAAGTTGTTGCTGGTGGCAAAGACGCAGGAAATGGATTACATCAATTGGATCGTCCAACTGATGTTTTAATTGACAAAGAGACAAATAGTCTCACTATTTGTGATTATGGGAATCGACGAGTTGTACGATGGTCTCGTCGTAGTGGTACAACACAAGGTGAAATACTCATCGACAACATCCAATGTTATGGATTAGCAATGGATGAACAGAGATATCTCTACGTTTCTGACTGGGAAAAAGATGAAGTAAGACGATATCAATTGGGTGAGAAAAATAGCACTCTCGTAGCTGGTGGTAATGGGAAAGGTGATGAACTCAATCAGCTCAACTGGCCGAAATATCTCTTTGTCGATCGACAACAGACTGTCTACGTATCAGACTACAACAATCATCGTGTAATGAAATGGAATAAAGGTGCAAATGAAGGTATTGTGATCATTGGAGGACAAGGTCAAGGGAATGCTCTGACACAATTGTATTATCCTAATGACCTCGTCATTGATACGTTGGGTACACTCTATGTAGCAGACTCGTGGAATCATCGTGTAATGCGTTGTACTCAAGGAGACAAGCAGAAACAAGGCGCTGTAATTGTGGGTGGAAATGGTCAAGGAGCTGGAGCAAATCAATTCAACTTCCCCTTTGGTTTGTCTTTCGATCGACATGGTAATCTCTATGTCGCCGATCGTGATAATAATCGTGTTCAGCGATTTTCTATCGAATAAGACTTGTGAATTATTTTTGTTCGTTTATTTTTCTACTTTGAAATAAATGAAAAAATAAGAAATTTTCTTTTACTCTTTCGCTTCAAAGAAAAGAAAAAAGGTAAATATAAAATTACGTCATATGTTTCTTTTCTTCTTCTTTTATTTATTTGTTAAATGAAAAGAAACGAATTAAATAAAAGAATTTGTTTTTTTTCGCAAAAAATTATTAAAGTGAAAATAATAAATTGTGTCGTTTTGAAAATATTTATTATTATAATCAAAAATACAATTCATGTTACTTTGAAAATATTTGATTCCTAAAATGAAAAATAAAATTTTGTGTTATTTTTACAAATTTTATTATTGATATGAAAAAAAAATTTCCTTTTTCTGAAACCATTTAGTAGTAAATTGAGAAAAATTGATTAGTAAAGTGAATTTATTTCTTAGTAAAATAAAATAAAATTTGTCTTGTTTTTACAATTATTTATTAGTAAATTGAATTTATTTATTAGCAAATGAAAATGATTTAGTAGTAAAATTTATTTATTTATTAGTGAAATGAAAATAAAATTTTGTATTATTTAAGGCCCCGCCTCTCAAAGGTCGATTTTCGCCAAAGAACACTCAAATCGGCTGAAATTCTCAGAATATGTTGGACCTGGAGCGGGTAGTCTACGATAAAAATTTCAGCCCGAAATATGCAAGTTTAATGAAGTTATGAAATGAACATTGGCTAAAAATGGGTGATCTGGCATCCTAGTTATTCTGTTTTAACTGTTTTTTCGAAAAATTTTTTACCATTCGATAGAGCATGCAAAGATGCCCTGCATCTCGTGCTTTGATTTTAAAAAAGAGAGAGAGAAAGAAGAAGAAAAATATATAGGAGAGAGAGAGAGAGAAGAAGAAAAATATATAGGAGAGAGAGAGAGAAGTAGAAAAATATATAGGAGAGAGAGAGAGAGAATAAGAAAAATATATAGGAGAGAGAGAGAGAGAAGAAGGAAAATGTAGATAGGAGAGAGAGAGATATAGAGAGAACGAGAAAGAAGATACATAGAGAGAAAAGACGTCTCGGGAGAAAAGGATACAGGGATGGATTACATATTGTCCAATAGGCGATTATGTGCTGTCATATACAAGGATATCCATTATCACTGTAAGTTCAATTACATCACAGCTATCTGTTCCCTAGTTCTATGACTTCTAAGTGGACGTCCAGTGGTTTCTATAACCCCCTATTTAATCCAGACCTACATGAGGAACTTACTTCTTTGGACATCTGTGACTTGTACATGGACGTCCATTACCTATTCTGTCCCCTTATTTATTACATCTTACAGGAGTTACGTGTTTCTTGGCACATTAAGATGTGTATATTTCGATTTTTTTGATTTCGTATTAATGTTTTTAGATACAATTGCATATCGAATCTTGTCCAATTCTACATCGTTATAATCTTAGGGTGTGGTTATATTTTTCAATTTTAGATAGATGTAAAATATTTTTAAAAAACGAATTCTTGTTTATTGGCAATCAATAGTCGAAAGATCGAACAGAGACTTTTTTTTACAGAAATCATTGATTTGCAATCGTAGAGAAATAAATTTATAGAATTAAGAATTTGTTTGGCTTTGTCATCATTCATCGTCTACTGGTCTACTGAATATTTTTGCGTTTCTATGTACAGTTCTTGTCAATAGAATTCATATTTTTAATTGTTTTAAAAAGCATGAAGAAAAAGCACCCAAAGTAGACAGAAACAGAACAGAAAAACAATGTTGTCCTGTCGTTGAATCCAAAGATGAAATCATTTGAAGAAGTAAGTAATCGGTGTAGGTAGTAAACAATTTTCGAACAATAACAACAACACGACTTTTATTTCTTAATGATAGACTTTATTTAATGCTTCTATTGAATGAAAACTAGAACTTACACGTTTCTTTATGAATACAGGTTTTTAGTCATCAGTTATAAACTGCTGTGTTCCGCACTGATGCTATCTATATATTACAAAATGTGAGTTCAAAATCAAAACTATTAATGATATTGAAGTTCAGATTGAGTATATAACTGCCACAAAATACATGCGAATTTTAACAAAATTCAAACTTTATTATAATTTTATTTCGAGCTTTCGGCAAGAACTCTCGCCACCATCAGGAACATTACAAAGAGAAAGAATAAGATACATTCTTTGAAAAAGATATAGACACATAATAAATGCAGAAACAATATTTAATTATGAAAAATTAATAGATGTAGATGTATTTTTTATACGTTTTCTTGTTAGATAGTTGTTGAATGAAAGAGTATGATATTTAATACATCTACAGGTTTAATATAAAGGTGATATTAAATTCTTAAATATAAATAGATAGATTTATACAATAATATGTAGTTATATAATAATTATAATTTTTATGCGAAAATTTTTAATTTATGTTTAACTTCATTTAAAGACTTACCATAACTGTAGTATGTGAAGAGACTTTCTTTTATGATTCTACGTTTTCAATTTATTTCTGAAGATAAGATTTTTTTATTATCAAAATCAAAAGAATGATTCTTGTCGAATACATGTTGTGCTGTATTAGAGGTTTCTTTACTTTTCTTATATCTTATGCTCTTTTATTCTTGTGGTTAAGCTTCTATTAGTTTCTCCAATGTAGCTGTAATTACAGCTTTTACATGGTATCTGATAAACCAATTTTTGTAGTGATGATCTTTCCTCCCAGCAAAATCATTCCAACAGTAGGATCCTATCGGATTCCGACAAGGGTCAGACAGTAAATATACCGAGCACCATGTGTTTCAATAAAACCGACAAAATCTTATGGCATTCCTGGACACGGACCTACAGTCTGATCCTTGGAATTGGATCCAATCGGATCCGATGTTGGATTTTAACGAAATTCAACTCTAACGAATCATTCTTGTGTTCTGATGACTCAAAATGTTTATTTGATCGTGAATAAGAAAATGATTTTTTCCGTCGGAACCAACAATAGGTCCGCGTCCAGGAATTCTATCGGATTTTGTCGAGGAGTCGGATTCATGCACCTGGGCTTCTCTAATATCTCTACGTATAATATGTTTAAGATATCCGTTTTCACCTAGTGTTTTCCCTAAGTCTATTAGTTCTTGGTTAGAATATTTATCAGAAGAACATAACAATAATATCCTAATAGTTATAGTTCTTATAAGACCTAGTTTGCATTTTCTAGGTTGGTTACTCTCGTAGAGTAGATATAAGTTAGTATTTTTTGGTTTTTTTAATAGATAGTTGTATCATATTTGTTAGTATTTATATTTCTAATTATTAAAACATCTAGAAAATGTATTGTATTATCTATTTCTTTTTCTCTTGTGAAACTTATATTTTTATGCCACTTATTTATACTTTCAAGAACATTATCAATGCCCTGTTGGTTGTCGCAAATACAGAGTATGCCGTCGACACATCTTAACCACAACTATGGTTTGTTTTTTGAGAATTTATTTAGTTTATTTTTTAGTTTACTCATGAACATATCAACGAGTATAGATTGTGCCGATATTGATCGCACGCTTCGATGATTCTCCTTCATCCTCCTTCTGTTCTCTTTCCATTGTTCTGATATATCTCTCTCCTATATATACGTGCGTTACGTATGACGTTGCTACACTCTGGATATGTGAAGAACCGAATAAACATCATTGCCGAGAATGGCGATAAGCTACTGCGCCTCTATCCAGTTTGTCATTAACATATCTACCCAAACAGGGTTCCCATTTATCGTTATATAGGCCCAAGTGGTGACCCCATCGCGACGTCATCCCACTGTATATAGTAGTCATTCATGACGCAGAATAGTACGTTACCGACGGCGAGTTCAAGCAATTTTTTGAATTGCTTTCTATTAAATGGTGTGTTTTTGATTGTTTTTTTTTGGTTTTTCCATATATTATACAACTATGTCTATGGCTTCTTTTACTGGTACGTTGGTGTACAATGCATCGACATCGAAGGAATTGGATTGAAACCACTTTGATCGAATATAATCGAGATAGAACGGGAAAGTAATTTGACAAGTAAAAGGCGTTTGTTTCATAGACTTTGTTAATACAAAAAGTTAAACTAAGTATTAAAAAAACGATGTTCACACTAAATGTAGAGCTATTTTTTAAAATTTTCCACTGATATAATTCAATGAAAGATGGACCATTTGCTACAAAAATCATTCTTTTTTCAGCTCAAAGAGTGAAATAATATCCAAAAAAAGCAAGCAAAAATCTTCCTTCCTTTCAAAGAAAATCAAGTTTTACTAGAAAAGTGTAGAGCGAGATTTTTTGAAGTAATTATGCGCTAAGATTGGTCAATATATGTAAATAAAGTACATATATCATCTCTGTTATCTCTCTGTCAAGAGCTGTTTCACAGTACTATAGCTTTTTGTACATCAATTACGTCCAAAAACACGTATCTAGTGCTAATTTGGCAAAACTTTGAATTAGACAATGGACTTAACAGTCATTATCATTCATAATGTCAAAAATGCCTTATAGATTGCATTAAAATACAAAATATGTATGCCAATGCGCATTTCGTATGTGTTAATTATTATGACTCTAACGGGTCTTTGTTTTAAATTAATAGCTAAAAATGAAAGCGAAACGTGTCTTGACATAAGATCAAAAGTAAAAATTGTCATTAAGAATGAAACGTTTAGTTTCAAAAAATTTTGACATAGAATTTAGGAAAAAAGCGGTTTCTCAGGCAACTGATCAACGCAATAAAAACAAAAAACATTGAATGAGTATGTAACAAGATCCTCCCCATTATCATAAGTAAGAAAAGGTCTAAGAAAAAAAGAAGTTCTGGGTAGTCTTACCCTACTAATGCGATAGATCTTGCCGAGATCCCTTTATCTTTATGTATACAGTATACATTTATGAATATTTTGGTCGAAAATTATTATTTTGAAGCAAAACCCCCGTTATCGTTGTGATATACATCCGGCATTACTCTATCATATACAACACTTAGTTTGCTGGAATCGTGAAATTCATTGTTTTCTGCAAACGGTATAATGGGCGCCTTCGCCACTCGTATATTTCCTCGTCTAAGTAAATTTAACATGGTATTCGATTTTTTCTGATTCGCATTCGTTTCCTGGTTTGTATTAGGTGCACAATCGCTTGTGTAAGGAGCGGAATTTTCAATAAGGGTAACAAGTAGTGTACTGCATAAGAGTTGGAATTGAAAAAAGTTCTGAATCGAAAAATGCGATTCTGCTGATCACTTGTAACAAGGCATACAAGCAAGTGTAGGTGTGGTTGACTGGTAACATTGTACAGAAAGAAAAGTCCGCATTCACACCCACGTCCAAATACTAGATTATCTTTTTTCTAACTGTTTTTATCATTTTTTTGTATTACGCACATTTCTTTGTATATTCTCTTTGAAATCTTCGTTGCTTGACTTATTACAAGCTTTTTTTTATCAGTTAGTTATTTTACGATTATGCGAAACAGCTCTAATATTGTCATAAAATTTTGTTAATTCTTAAAAATTTAATTTAATTGAAATTGATATCATGAATTAGACAGTGATAAATATAATTGATCTGGTTTAACCTGCGAACAAGTTTACTGGTCAAACCAGGTCGAAAAGAGTAGCCCGTTGGTAGCTCTTCTCTAGATCCTGTTAGACAAAAATAAGACTTATAACTTTGGTGAATCAGAGTAGAAGTTCCCTTTCCTTGATTTATGTTTCAGCGCTCATAGGCAATTGTGTTCAACAAACCTTTTCATCTGACAAAGTATGTACCGCTATGATAGATTATTCTAATAGAAATACATAAGTAACGCTCGTCGAGAATCAATTTACTTGACGCTGGACTGACAGGCTACATACTTATACAAAATCGCTATTAAAAAGGGTGATAGTTGAGTAAAACGATGACTAAATAGAAAAATAATACTGATGAATGAAGTTTGCAGCGCACTATTCTACAAACCAATTTTCAGAACTCCTCTGTGAAACTCTTTTGACCTTTTCTCACGTACGATTTACAATTTCATTGATGAACCGAAAGATTTCTCACGGCAGCAAAGCTGTTTTCCATCTGTGCATTGTTGTCCTTTATACCACATCTCAAAAGGCGATATTTTGTACCATATACTCAACGTAATATATGTGTCACAGACAGACAGAAAACAGGTGAATTTCCGTTTCTAGACCATATCCTTTCAGTCTGGAAAACACTAGCAAAGAAGATTAAAAAAGCGATACAGTTCTATAAAGATCAAGTTGAATTAGCCACAGAAAAGAGAATTAAGTTAAATATTTTTCTGTAATTTTGCGAAGCGTCAGTTATGTCATTTTCTAATCTTTTATAGAGTTTTAAGCTGTCATATTGGTTAATATGGACCCAATAGCTATTCTGAAGGTCATCTATGAGACGGCAGCGCTTATTAAACAAACGGTTGACAATGCCAAGGTGAATGAGAAACAATGCAAAAGACTTGAAGAAAGAATCGGCGCAATTAGTGAGAGCTTGATATCGATAAATGATCGTGATCTACAAAGACCAGAGCTTAAAAAGTCACTCGGTAATTTTCGCAACTGCGTTAAACAATGCTTAGACTTTGTAACTCAGTTTAATGACGAAAAATGGTATTCTTATAAAAAGATCTTCAAAACTCAAGCCCATAAAGAGCAATTTGACGAAATGAATCTTCAACTATCTCAATGCGCTACTGATCTCAATTTAGGCATCAATTTGAAACAGATGTTTGATCGTAAATTAGATGAGAGTGATCAAAAAGTGGATCTGAAGAACATCGAATTGAAGATTGATGAAATCACAACGATGATGGAAAAAAAGGACGAAGAACAAGTTCTTCGCTTTAAAGCGATGGAAGAAAATAATACGCAGCGGCATAATTCAATGAAGAGTTTAATCATGGAGTGTAATAAGGAACGTAGGGATTCTGCCAGAGCATGTAAGATCGAAGAGGAAAAAAATGCATATCGTCAAATCCCATATGACGACTTGATAATAGAGAAATGTATCGGGCGTGGTGGATTCGCTGATGTGTATCGTGGAAAGTGGTTGTCTCATGATCATGAAGTAGTCATTAAACTCATTCGAATTGAGCATCTGGATGATAGAGTGAAAGAGGACTTTATTAACGAAATTTCGGTGATGTATCTAACGCGCTATGAACATATTCTCAATATATTTGGCGCCTGTATGGGACCCACAAAATATGCACTCATCGTCGAATATATGTCACTTGGTTCTCTCTATGATGTTCTACAGCGAAAAAAGCCACAACTTACATGGTCTGATCGATTGTCAGTTGCTAATCAGATGATCAAAGGCGTTAATTATTTGCACAAACTTCCAAAGCCAATTATCCATCGCGATATTAAATCAGTCAATATTATTATGACAGATAATGTAAAAGGTTTTCTCGTCAAAATTGCTGACTTTGGCCTAGCTAAAATACGTCACGAAACGTCGCGCCAATCAAGTCATGGCCCTTCAGTTGGTACTTTACCATGGAAAGCGCCCGAACTACTAAAAATGGGAAAGCATACAGAAGCTAGTGATATATATGCCCTTGGTGTTGTGCTTTGGGAGTTAGCCACGGAATCTGAACCATACGGAGACTGATCTTTCAACGATCAGTGCATTTGTCCTACGAGGAGACCGATTGGATATTCCAGACGGCATTCCCAGTAGATTTAGAGAACTGATTTCAAGAGCTTGGGTGCATGAACCTCAAAGGAGACCAACCTGCCAAGAACTTCTCAATTCTATGAAAGATGTCTTCTGCGAACCTGATGTAAATAAAAAACCTCCAGTAAGAAATCATACATTGTAATATTGTTTGTCTCTAGGTTTACATTTAATTGAAGGATAACGCATTGAAACTTTCTGAAATGTTTTTAACATTGATTATCGTTTATGATAGTTCAATGATAAAAATCTAGATATCTAAGAAGTTAGATTTCATATGAAACTAAGTCACTAATCTAGTCTAAGTTTACATCTATTAAGTTGCATGTGAGCTTTTAGGAGAAGTATTCTTGGTACTTCAAATTGTGGTAATATAGAAATGTATCTTATCTATTTCTAGAATAATGCTAGTGCTATTACCAAGAAAGTTGCAACCGATTCAAGCAGAATTGCATCATCACACGAGTACAATAGAAAGTAAATATTAGGATTCTTTACTGATATGAATTTAATTTTCATGTATTGGTTAATAGTCTTCCAAAATCGAATGAAAAAGAAAATAGAGCAGGTAAGTCTCTAAAGTATTCTTTTCGCCATTCGTAAATGAAGATTTTATAATTGTATACTTATATGAGTTTCAGTCTAATTTGTCCGTTGAGAATTTGCATAGACATGTGCAAAACGTCAACGAGGCCACAAAATATATTCTCTAGTAAGCATCCTATTTATACGAAAATAATACAAAAGTATTCACCGTAAGATACATTTTGTGAAATACTACACTAAATAATCTTCTCAATGACAAAGCTTGACTTAAAATCTATGCGTAGAAATTATTTTGTTTAGAATAAACATTATAAATCAGTTATCATAGAATAGCTGTTTTATATTCAATGAAAAAGCATATCAATCGAAATTATCGCATTTTAATTTTTTCAGGTGCACCGCTAGATTTCAACTACACGCAGCTTTTTCTTATTTACCAACTATCCGTTTAAAATATTAATTCAATCAGAATCTTTAACAGTTTCTTTGCATTTTATATCATATAGAGAACGAGAGTTAAACGACATAGAAAAATAACAAAAGTGTGGTTTTCAAGTCATAGTATCATCTTGATGGTTAAGAGAGAATTTCACTGTTAAGAAATTCTGCTCAATATTATACAGTCATAACACAATATCTTAGTTATATAGTCATTCGAAAAATATCTTGTGGGTGTGAGTGTGCATGGGTGTTACTATCATTGTCATTTTGCAGCACCAACACCCACACCCTTTTCTAGAGAAGCCTTTGTGGGGAGGGGGAGGAGGATTTTGTTGAATTTCTAAAAGAATGATGTATTAAAGGAATTTTACCCTACACTTTCGAAATTATTTCATACTAGAGGTCTCTGTGAGAATTTAATGAAGTGTTTGGATTAGCATCCTATGTAAAAAAAATCGATTATAAATCAAATAAAACATTGCTTATAATGGCACTATTATAATCTGATCTTAATCAGATTTTTCAACCTTAAAAAAACAGAATTCTGTTATATCCTTTTTATAACATTGATATGTGTTGGTACAATTTCACTCACTTCTCGTTTTATTTTCAATCTCCAATCAAAATCACACACTCTGTTTTTCCAATTCACTTATCTATCACGTTGTACCTAATTAAACTGCGCAATATGAAAAGACAAAAATAAATTATAAAAACATAATCTATTCACATAATTTTTAGCTTTTTCAGATGAGAAAAAGAAATAGAGAGAAGAAAGAAAACGAACAAGAATTGTTCGACCAAAACAAAAGAACGAAAGTATAGACGAGAAACAAAGAATAAACTAAAGAACATCTAACAGACCGAAAGAAAATATAAAAACAAAACAAAATACCACGTGTCTTAGGGCATATCATTTATGCCATAACAAATTTATTTGGTTTTTTTAAACGTGTTTTAATCGATTTCCTACAACGACTATGATTATCAATTAAAATAAATTTAAAAAAGATCAAAATCAAATAAAATGTGTCTTCTTAAGGCTGAAAAATCTGTTTACAATAAGATTATAAAACTGCCATTATAAGCAATTTTTTATTTGATTCATAGCCGAAAGTTTTTACATGGATATTTGATTTATTAAATATAAAAAAAATGACTGAAGTTACGAACTCACAAAAATAAACATGGGAATCACGAAAAAATTTCCCAATAACAACATTATCTGTTACTGTTTTCTTAATATCCGTTTTGCCGTGTGTAGTGATATCCTTTCGTTTAACTTTTAAGCAATTAGATCTCGTTGCTCTTGAACATTCTGTAGAAAAGCTGACGAAGAGAAAAGCAAGGTTCTGGAAGATTGAGGTCAAATTTATCAAAGGTTTGGAATTGAGACTTATTTACTCTCATTACATATTCAAGACGAACTGGAAACTGCTTTCGAACGAAATTTAATGGAAGTGCTGGATCATACACCGTATTCAAAGAAATTGTAGAATTAAAATGAATAGTTCCAGAAAATGCACCAGTGATAACTTCCAATTGAAGCACTTCTTGACGAAAGGCTCTAACAATTATTCTAGTTTCATAATAAAACTATTTGTTTACCGGTAGAGGTCTCAAAAGTATTACTGTTTGACCTATTTTTAAACTTAATTTATACGGCGGTAATGTAGACGGATTCAATGTATTTAAAAACTCTACTGGAATATTAACCTGTAAATCATGGTCGTGTATACGGTGACTATTTTTGACAGATTCAGTCGCATAAAATCTTCTTTGTTCAACATTTTTTAACTTTATCAAAACGCGTTCATTGATTAATCAAAAACCTTAGTTTCTTGGACAGAGAATTGAACTTCTTGATAAGTTTTCCAAATCAGTACACGTAAAATTATTATCAAAAACATCGCTTACTAGGTTATTAGATATTAAAGAAATTGGAGCTTCAACTGAAAATTGGGCTTTAATTGTTAGTGGTAAAGGTATCCTACCATCATCGATACCTAAAAGATATTTAGAAAATCAGAATCTGTGATAGCTTGCATATTGCACGTTAATTTGAATGTTTGAAAAAGAACCAGACAGAAGACTTTTTTGTTCGAGCAATAATGTCGCATCGAGATCTTTTTCTAATAGCCCACAGAACTTGTTGAAAATCATCACGTAACAACAATCTTTCTACAATTTCTTTTACTGTATGTTTTCATGTATTCTTTTCGTTTTTGGTGTCTCTCTGCCATTTTGTAAAAAAACGTTTGAAAGGTGATGATTTAGAGTTAATCGATTTTATTCCAAAAACTTCACTATATGTAATACTTGCTCTTATTTAAATTCAGTGTAGTTTCTTCTTTTCTCTCTTTTTCTTGGAGATTAATTCTATTTTCTGTTTGTCTTAATCTATGCACTGTAATAACTAAACACCTGGGCGTCAGTTTGTAATAAAATAAATAATTTAAAGTTTTATGTTTTTACAGCGCTCGTAGAAAAAGAAAACAATAAAAAGATGACTGGCGTGCATATATATGTATACCTTTTTTCTTTATGTGACTAATCATATGAAAGTTCCTGCAGAAGAATGCTTGTAAAAAAATTAATTATCAAATCGCTCAGGTACCTAACCTTTTTCAAGCAGTTAATAATAAAAGAGTTCTTGCAATATGCAGATTCCCTACGATTATTTATTATTTTTACTCTCAGAAAATTTAGTAATTCTAAATATGTTATTGCTGCATGTATAGAAAAATAAAACAATATACATTATTACTGACATATATATTTACATAATGAATGAACATATACAACGTATACGGCGCACATATATATGTATACTTTTTGTTTTTCGTTCTCTGACCAATCATATGAAAGCTCCCGAAGAGCTGAAAAACACTTGCACATTATAATATAGATACTGCCGGATAAGCTAAGAGAAAACTCGAGCGAGTAGTTCTTTTCTTCACAGTTTTTCCATGTCTTCTTTTCTAATAATCCTACCATATCAGCGATAGAGAGATCTCATTTTATTCTTACGTTTTCTCTTCTAGTTAATATTCATGCTAATGCCAAATGGGCACAGAAAGGAATGACTATTGCTGGAGGTAACGGGGAGGGCGATGCCACTAATCAACTCTACTACCCTCAAGGTCTCTTCGTTGATGATGATAAAACAGTGGTTATTGCTGACTGTTGGAACAATCGTATCATCCAATGGAAAAAAGATGATACAGCGAACGGACAAGTTGTTGCTGGTGGCAAAGGCCAAGGAAATGGATTGCATCAATTGAATGGTCCCACTGATGTCTTGATTGACAACGAAACGGATAGTCTAATTATTTGTGACGGCAGACGAATTGTACGATGGTTTCGGCTTAGTGACCGAAGACAAGGAGAAATCATTATCGACAACATCCAATGTTATGGGCTGACTTTGGATGAACAGAGATATCTTTACGTCTCTGACGTTGTAAAACATGAAGTAAGACGATACGAATTGGGAGAGAAGAATGGCACTCTCGTAGCTGGTGGAAATGGCAAAGGTTCGAGTCTTAATCAACTCAACGAGCCGAGATATCTCTTTGTCGATCGACAACAGAATGTATACGTGTCAGACAGCGAGAATAATCGTGTAATGAAATGGAATAAAGGTGAAAAAAGAGGCATTGTAGTCGCTGGAGGACAAGGCAAAGGGGATGCTCTGACACAATTAAATGGTCCTAATGGACTCTTCGTTGATACGTTGGGTACACTCTATGTAGTAGACTCGTTAAATAATCGTGTAATGCGTTGGACTCAAGGAGCAAAACAAGGCGCTGTAATTGTGGGTGGAAATGGTCAAGGAGCAGGAGCAAATCAATTCAAGTGCCCCATCGGTTTGTCTTTCGATCGACAAGGTAATCTCTATGTCACTGATCATGATAACAATCGTGTTCAACGATTTTCTATCGAATAAGACTTGTGAATTTCTTTTTGTTCGTTTATTTTTCTACTTTGAAATAAATGAAAAAATAAGAAATTTTCTTTCTCTCTTGTTGGAAAGGTAAGCCGTAGCGAACAGAAGCTCACACGTACAAGCATAGAAACTACACCCTAAATAAAACACGTTTCTCCAGAAACCCAAATCCCGTCGCAAATCCTTTCGGGAACTCACAAACGTATCCGGAAAGGGCGTGGACGTGGGTGTGATTCTCTGCTCATCTACGCCCACACCCCAGTGATAGGTTTTGAATCACTATCCAATTGTTAGCCTACAAAAGCTTTAGTTATCACGTATGAGTATATCACTTTATTGTTGTAAACAACAGGTATATATATACAGAGTTAAGGAAAGTCACATAATTCACTAGAAGATAATAGAGCGTTAAGAACTCACGAGAGAACACATGCACAAGAAAGAAGGAGAACGAATATACTAGAAAGATCACATACATATAGATGGAATACATATGATGACGTCACAAGAAAAGAAAGAAAACATAAATAGAAGATATAACTACTTCACATAGTGGTCGTTGCCATTTCCCATGACATACCATGTGAATGGTTTTCAATTGATGGGTATGTTCTCAATTATGTGTGTTGTGTGTCTTCTTTATATTTATTTGCATTTTCATGTATTTTAGACGTTCTGGTTGTAATGGTTTTGTTCAGTTGATGATGGATAATATGAAGCTGTGTTGATTGGTATGATATTCTAGTTAAACTTTATTTTGTTTTTGACGCTTTATTTGAGTTAGGCGTGTGAGATTCGCTTTTGTATTCGAATTATTCTTGCAGTTTCTGTCTACATTTATGAGTTTAATTTTCTTCTTTGTGATTGGGTTCAAATAAAGTTTCAGCTTCCCGTTGGATGAGTTGTTCCTGTTTTCCTTGAGCTACTATGTGAAGTGATGACATTTTTCTGCCTCGTAATAATTGGATACTAAGATGAAAGTATTAAATGATTATTTTTATTCCTGTGTGAAAACATTGAAAATAGCATTACATAATACAATGTAGGTGCTAAAACGATACCCCGTCATTCGTAATCGTTTATAACTATGAGTAACTATTCAAGAGCAATACTTTTTATTTTGGTCTTTTATGGGAATGCAAGTTACAATTAATTTTTTTCTGACTTATGCAAACTAGTCGTTAAATTTTGTTTCTTCTTTTCTTTAGACTGTGTTGAAATCGATCAAGAACAATCCGAATCTGAAATAATTGTAAGTGAGCACTGAAATAAACAATATTTTCTGTTCCTTTCAGAGCTGCAAGAATTATTTGCACCACAATTAATTTTATTTTTGTTTATCTAATGTGAGTTAAGTATATATTCATTTATTGTTCTCTTCTATTTTTTAGAATGTGTTGATCATCGATCAAGAACAATCAATCTACAATACGTATAAGTATGCATTCTGTATTTTATTTTGGTTTCAGAGGTGCAAGTCGGTACTATTCAAAGTACAATCATTTTATTTTACTTTTCATAAATGAAATATGTATTTATTCATTTGTTTTTCTTTATGCTTTAGAATGCGTTCGGGTATCCACGAAGAAGAAGCAATCTGAAATAACTCTAGATAAGTATTCCAATCAATATTATTTCGTTTCTTTTCAGAGGTGCAACTGGGAATTATACAAATTAGTATGTTTATATTTTCGTTTATCTAACTTAAATAAACTACTTATTCATTTGTTTTTCTCTGCTTTAGAATATGTTCGGGTATCGATGAAGAACAATCAATCTCAAACGACCATAGACAAGTGTTCAAGTACATATTATTTTTATTTCTTTGCAGAGGTGCAGCTGGGAATTAATCAAATTACCATTATTTTATTTTCAGTTATTTAACATATGTAAACTACGTTTTGCATTCTTTTTGTTCTTCTCCTTTTTAGAGCGTGTTTGTTTTGATCTTCAACAATCCATCTAAAATAACTAGAAGTATTTAAATAAATAATATTTTCTTCTTTTTTTTTATTTCAGGGATGCAAGTTTGAATTAAACCAAGTACAATTATTTTCTTTTCGTTTTCTCTAATTTATTATAAAAATCTATGAATTTTATTTTTGTTTCTTCTCTTGTTTAGAATGTGTTCTCGCATCATTCATGAACAATTATAATCTTTAATTGGTACAAGTAACTATTCTAATTAACAATGCTTTCTTTTCGTTTCAGAGAGAAAAGTGGAAAATATACACATTAAAATCAGTTGCATTTTCGTTTAGTTCACATAAACAAAGTAAATGTTCATTTTTTTGTGTTATTCTTTTCTTTAGAATGTTTTCACCTCGATCATGAACAACAATAGTCGAATGTATTCAGAAGTAAGTATTCAAATAAACAACATTTGCTTTTCTTTTCATTGCAGGGTACAAGTTGGAATTATACAAACTACAATTATTTTATTTTATTTTATTTTATCTAAAAGAAATGTATGACATATTCATTTTTTCTCTCTTCTCTGTTTTAGACTGTATTCGCTTTTCGATCATGAACAATCAAATAATTTAGAATAACAATAAGTAAGTATTCAATATCTTTTTTTTCATTTCAGTGGTGCAAGTTGGAATTATCCTAAGTACAATCATTTTATTTTATTTCTCCTATATGTAACATAAATTACTTACATATTCATGTTTTCTCCTTCTCCTGTTTAGAATATGTTCGTTTTGATCTTCAACAATCAATATAAAATATCTCTAGATAAGTATTTAAATAAATAATATTTTTTCTATTCTTTTTATTTCACATGTACAAATTGGGATAAAACAAATTAAAATTACCACCATTTTATTTTATGTTATTTAACATAAATAAATTACATATTAATTTTTCTTTTCTTCTCTTCTTTAGTCTGTGTGCGCGTATCTATCAAGAAGAATCAATCTGCAATATCTATCATTAAATATTTTAATATTTTATTTTCATTTTAGTGATGCAAGTTATAATTGCACAAATTACAATTCATTCTTATATATTTTATTTTTGTTTCTTCTCTTGTTTTAGAGTGTGTTTACATCGATCAACAGCAATAGTATATTATTCTTCTATTCTTGTTTGGCTTGTGCAATGGAGAATTGAAAGATAATTAATCTTTTTATGAATGTAAGTATATGCAAATATTAAATATATTCCAGATTTACTTCTTTTTTTTTTGCTCTAGATCTCCTATTTTCCTTTGTTTTTTGAACGGTTGACAAAAGATTAAGAATCAAACTGTATATGTGAGTATGATATTCTTGTGCAATTTGATCATTGAGTGTCTTCGATTCAATGAAGTATAAGTTTAAGTAATTTTTCAAATAAACAATATACTTTTCTTTTTCGTTTCAGTGGTGCAATTTGGAATTCTACAAATGACAATGTTTTCTGTTTTCTCTCATGTAACATAAAGAAACGAAATAGTAAATTGTTTTCTTTTTTCTCTTGTTTTAGAATGTGTTCACATTGATCAACAGCAATAATGTTTTTTAATAGGGAAATATTCAATATATTCCCAATTTATTATTACATCAAATGTTTTTAAAGATTTACTTAATTCCTCTTTTGTTCTAGATCTTCTATTATGATTCTTGATATGGTTGACAAATGGTTACGAATTAAAGTGTATAAGTAATTTTTCAAATAAACAACATATTTTTCTTTTTGTTTCAAGGGTGCAAATTACAATTTTACGATTTTCTATATTCTTGGTATCTAACATAAATCTCTGCTCTTTTTTTAGACTGTATTCGCGAATCGATCATGAACAATCATAATCTAAAATAACAATAAGTAAGTATTCAATATCGTCTTTTTTTCATTTCGGTGATGCAATTTGATATTCTACAAATTGCAATATTTTTTTTTGTTTTCTTTTATGTAACTAACATGTAGAAACGAGACAGTAAATTTTTTCTTTTGTTTTAGAATATGTGTTCACATCGATCAACAGCAATAATATTATTAATATTGAAATTGCCAATAGATTCTTGAATTAATAAATGTAAATATTACGATATATCATCTATTCATTTGATTTACTTGTTTCATTTGTTTTTCGTTCTAGATCTTTTATTCTGATTTTTGGAATGGTTGACACTTAATTATATATCAAGGGTTATGTGTATGTATACGATGCTTCTGTATAACATAATGATTGTATCTTCGATTCAATTAAACATAACTATTATAGTAAATATTCTAAGAAACAAATTATTTTCTTTCGTTTCAGAGGTGTAAGTTATAATTGTAGAAATCTTAACATTTTTTTTAATTTAAAATAAATATACTACATATTCGTTATCTGTGTTTTGCTTTTCTTGTGTTTTGTTTTTTTTATAATTTGTTTATATTAATCAAGTACAAAAATAATAATAATAACTTTTTTTTCTTTTATGCTATATGGACAATAAAAATGTTAATTACTTTTCTTTTTCATTTTAGATATTAAATACATTCCAGAATCCTTATTTAATAATTTACTTTTTTTTTCAGATAAATTTATATTGATCGTCTTTAACAACAACGAACATCTCCATGATATATCATCAGACGAGAGGTTCGTATTATTTTACTTTTCCCTAATCCTCTGTTATATGACAGCCTGTCAGAGCGGCTTCGTTGCCTGACCCAGATAGATTCTTCGTGTTACTCTGTTGCGGCGAAGTAGTGTAGTACTCGGGAAGGCCTGCATGATGTGCGTGTCGTCCCTGACGTCGTTCGTACGGGATGCCTACGTTCATTGCCCAACCAGTCCGGCGTGGTCCGCGCTATGCGTATCCGTATCTGGATAGACGGCAGGTCTTTCTGGTCGCGCGCGTGCCTACGCGCGAATAGTAAATAATGAATAGCTATCAAAGCAATTTAATTGAGTAAATACTAGAAGAAGAAAAACAACGAATGAACTATTTTACTGTTTCTTTCGAATCTTTTCAAATGTTTCTCTATATTCTACGAGATGTGGATGAGTTGAAGATAACTTC